ATCAACCATTCCCTTAGGAATTTTCAACATAAATCGTGCTATTTTTCTTCAAAACTCATCACCTTTATACAATTTATTACAACACATTTTATTTAAAATAAAATGTACAAAATATATCCCTAACTACCCTATAGGTCGAACACTACAAGGACATAGGCAAAGGTTCTTTTTCTTCACTTACATGTAACTTACACAAACAAATACATGTTTTCATAAGGTTCCAACTTAATTTTTGGAGCATAAAGTCCCTCCAAAGCCCCACAAGGCCTAAACCTAAGGGCATATTTCATATAATTGTTCCCACTTTGGCATTCTCACTAATTTATCAAATTTCCACTTAATTCCTACACATTAAACCTTCCTAATACTTAAGATAAAATTGTGCACAACATCCTACTCTTTACCTATGATGGCCGAACATGTAGAGGAAATCATAGGATTTTTTTCTAATTTTTTTACATACATACAAATGCTTATTTTCATTTTATACATCAAAATATCAATTATTCCTCATCAATACATATTTTAACACATCATGCTTTTCCACCCAAGGCATATACACAATTTTATAACTTAAATAATCAAAACAACATCATGGAAATAGAGGTTTGTTACCTCAAATCAACTACCCAAAGCCTAGAAGACCTACACCAAGAGAATCTCCATCAAAAACTTCATTTTGCCCTCTTGATGAATAGTACACGAATTTGGGGAAGGAAATATCTCCTCACACAACCAATGATAGCTCAAATAAATGGGTGGGATGGACTCATTGGGTGGTTTCCCATCGATTTCAAGTAGTGGGACTTGTGATTTGGTTAACTTTGGAGTGAGAATCAAAGAAATGAAGAACCAAACCCTACCCCCCCTTTTCACCAAGTGCAGCTCGGCTTCTTTGAGGAAGAGAGGAGAGAGAGCTGATTTTGAATAGTGCTCATTTGAGTCACTTAAGCTTTTAAGCACATGTGGCCCTTTTACCCGGTTGTTTTTCTATCGCGTATTTTTACTTAATTGACCCGGAACTTAACTTAAAGCTACAGATATATTTTTATTTTTCTAAAGTCATTTAAATTAATTTTTATTTCCTAAGTAACAATATTCATAATTCACAGTATGGTTTTTGCACCGTTTTTGACGAAATGCACTGTGCATCACTAATTGTACTTCCTTTACTTACGAAACTTAAAACTTATAAACTTATCATTTTCTTGGGCCTATATTGACTTGCTTGGCATATATTGGACTTTCTTATTCTTATTTCATCAATTATTTATTTCTGGACTCTACCGGTTGCTTAAACAGCAGTACAAAATACCCGGTAGAACACTATTCACGAGATTTTCACGGAAAGTGCCAGACTATACAATTTTTCGTTCTGAACTCATATTTGTCATCAGAATTTTCAAATTATGTTCCTAAAATTATTTTGCTCATTTTAAGCTCTACCGGTTAATTCACAAAACTGTAAATTCTCCGGCAGAACGCACTGTTCATAACATAGTCATGATTACAGTCAAAATACTCGAAATCGCTCACTGAATCTAATTATGGCATTTAAATCCTTAAATTAAATCTCTAACTAAGATTTACCAGTTAGGGTCATTATACTTTGCTCTAAATTGTTCTTGATATCGAAATGGTAACGTTTTACCTCTAGAAGGTTGCACATCAATGTTTCTGAGACATTTAAGGGAATAGCTTTCAGTTAATCATATGATTTTGTTTCAGAAATACCTTATTTATCCGTTCTTTTAATGCTATTAGACGGTTTCTTATTGTAAAGGAATTCATTCACTCACTGTCTTTATCCGCTTTTGTTTCTCTTTCCTTTGTTTTGGCTTAAGGAATAAAATTTGTATATCCAATGTAGGGATCAGAAGATAAAATATGCAATCCAAATCTGAAACTGCAAATTAACTGAGGTCTGAGAAGCATTCCTTTACACCTTGCGGTGTTTATTCTGAACCCTGGTGGCGTGGTATTGGGTACAATCCTGTCTCTCAAGCAATGTTGGGGGCAAATGCATCCAATTCATCCTCACTTGAATGCCCTAATGGTGATTCGGAATCCAGTGAAAGCCAATCTTTGTCAAATAATGGATTGAATGAGGAAGATGATGACACCACTAAAGAATCACAACCTACTGCTCCTAATCAATCAGGTGCTTTAGACTATATTGTAAAGAAAAATTCAAACATTGAAATAATAAAGAAAACGTTTGCTTATATTTTGAAGCCTCAAATTATGTTGATGTAATTTTTTTCATCAGTCCAAGTCTTACAAGCTTATGGGGATACCAAAATACAATGTTCTTTTCTTGATAGGAAATTACGGACTAGAGCACCAAAGGATGCAGCATGCTTTTTCATCTGCAACTTCTTTGCGGGATGAATGCCTTACTCAGACTCCAGAGCTGGAACTTGCTGGTCATTCAATTGTAAGACTTTGCCTTTTTTTTTCTTTTATAATTTTTTAGCATAACGACAAGGTGCAAAGATCATGGTTTTATGACTCTGATTTTTGCTGATTCTTGCGTATCTATGATAAAAATTCAATTATTAGAAAACTCATAGTTGCATCTTGCATGCTTTTGGAATGGATGGGATTCCTAGTACTCTTCTATTTTATTTTATTTTTATTTTTATTTTTATTTTTTACTGCAGGCATGTGCTTCAAATCCCTATCAAGATCCATATTATGGGTTCATGATGGCAGCGTATGCACACCAGCCATTGGTATGTAGACTAGCCAGTGTTCATGCATCAAAGATTTCTACGTATGTAGTTTGTCACACTCACTGATTTGCATTTCTCATCAATCAGTCTGGTAAGAATTGTAGTTGTTGCATAATATGCTATCTCATCAATCAGTCTTGTCATATGGTAAATTTGTTTCATGCTATCTTGTCTATTGTCCTGTTACTAACGGGGGTGATATTGGGATATCATTGAGATAAATAACCATATGATGTTTTCACTAGTAGGGATATGCTCCTTTTATAGGAATGCCTCATGCGAGAATGGCTTTGCCCCTTGAGATGGCACAAGAGCCTGTTTATGTGAATGCCAAACAATACCAAGGAATTCTGAGACGAAGACAGGCTCGTGCTAAAGCTGAGCTTGAAAAGAAGTCAATCAAAGTCAGAAAGGTAGAAATGAGCACAAGCTAATGCTTCTGTATACATGTTTGTTACTCTTTAGTACTATAGTTAAGTGCTGCTTTATATATTTTGAAAATTAATATCTCACCACATTTCAGGTTTGAGATATTTCCCTTATTTATTTTTTATTTTTTTATTACACTGTTCTTCAACCAATTAACTTTTTGCCGAGCTAAAAGTTTTTCATTTGACATGGAGGAACTTTAACTTATGTGCAAAGGTTATCTACCAAGGATACAATCAAAGAAAGAGTAAGATAATTGGAAACCTAGTAACCTCTGGATCTCTGAGCATTTTTAAATCAATAGAAGAGTTTAGGGAAATTGCTCCTTAACCTAAAATGTTTAATGCTTGTTTGATTCTAGAATAGTACTAATGCTTAACATTTCGTACGTGCAAATCTGGATCCTCTTCTGGGCTATGCTAACATCTATTCTGCACAGCCATATATCCATGAATCTCGGCATCAGCATGCTATGAGAAGAGCAAGGGGTAGCGGAGGACGTTTCGCAAAGAAAACTGAAGCTGAAGCTCGAAACCATTTGAACAAGGAAAAGGATATGGATACTGGTTCAGTGCCATCATCACAGTCAATTAGTTCATCTGGGTACGAACCTTTACCCTCTGACTCTGCTGAGACCTGGAATTCTCCAAATGTGCAACAAGATGCAAGAGAGAGGTTTGAAGAATGCAAGTATGCAAATGGTAGTGGCTCCTACCATAACTATAATAGTTTGCAATCGTCTTCAACTTATTGTTTGCACTCCGGTGAAAGACTGGAGGAAGGGGACTGTTCAGGTCAGCAACGAGGAAGCATCTCTTCTGAGCACACATCACAGAGACGGCTTGCTATTCAGTAAACCTACACTGCATGGGGATGATGGTGAGGTTGGTTTGTATTCAAGTGAAATAGTGGTGTGAGTATCTCTGAACATTTTGGCAAATTGCATGCCAAGCTGGCAAATCATTCTTGGCTCTGGTGTTAATGATATGGAGAAAATATTGATTGGGCCATGTGACTTTCGTTGAAGTCAACCAACTCTTCATTCTTTTCTCAATTTTTTTTTATTTTTTTTTTGAATTTTCCATTTTTGTACAGAGAATCAGAGATAGTTGTTAGCGAAGCCAAGCCGAGATGGGTGTTCAGATCAGAAGACTTGTCAAAACAAACCCTTGATCCACTAACTGTCGTTTGACTGCTTTATTTTATGTAGCTAACCGGTTATCAATGTTAAATATATGAGACATCATTGGAGAGATTCGCAGCATGATTATTATTCATTGGTTAAACAGCGGGTGCAGTTTTAAATCAAAACAAGAAAGTTTTTATTTTTTGGTTATTGAAATTCCTCCGTTTCGTTTTATGCTTTGAATGGAAATGCAGAGAGGTTATAGTAGTGACATAGCTTAGTAACTATTATATAGGAAAATTAACGTGGATGTTTGCTTCTCCATTATCCAAGAGAAGGCCAACCTTGGAGACCATTCAAGAACATCATCAATTATGTTAGATACCCACTTATGGTACCTGTAGAAAGCCGGTATCAATTTCAAAGTCGGGCACGGCCACCTTTTCATTATTACCCGTTCTTTTTTTTTTATTGATCTTTCTCTTTTAGTTTTGTTTCACTACATGGTGCGAAAATAGTAACGACAGCAATGAAACTTGTTTAGAAATGTTGCTAATGACAAACCTTTGTAGTTCGTTACTATATAAAATATAAAAAGCGGTGACACTAATCATTTCAATCTATTATGCTGTCATACCGAGCCATTTCCACCCTAATATTATACAAAATTGCTCAGAAAATCAGACTCTGATATATACTAATGATCCCACAGAAAAATTAGAGGTTCTTATATACACGCGGAGGAAGAATTTTTCTCCTCAGCAAGAATCCACACCTTTAGATTTACGTACTAATAAATTATGTCGTCCTATCATCGAATTAGGGTCATGGAGGAGGAAGAAATAAGAACATAAAAAGAATTTTCGTATTAATAAGACTTCAAACAAAAAATCAGATAGAGCTGAGATATTTCCAAGGAATTGAACAGTTTACTTTCAATTTGTTCGTACAACATTGTGGAAGTGGAAGTGGAAGTGTTGAGTTCATTTATTCAAGGTAGAGGACACCTTCAGGTCTATGGGGCTGCCAAAAGTGAGTTTTGTCAAGTTGGAATTGACGGTGTAGCTCCAACTTCAAAAATCTGACCTGCACAACACTCTGCTTCCATGACAACAATTTACAACACGGTCTATGCTGTTGTGCTTCTGCAAGTGAATCACGTCTTACAAATACAATATTGGAATACCTGAATAGAAAATGCTTGTATTCATCAATGCTCCTGGCAAAATCCTTTATGTTTTTCTATATCAAAATATGACTAATTACTGAACCATTATGCTAATGTAAACATGAGAGAATCTGCATAATTAATATGGGTTTTCAAAGAGAGAAAGACGGGGAAGGGTATTACCTAAATCTAATTCCTCGGCTCCAATTCCTGGAGAAGTCTTAAAGCTTGTCAGCTAATTTTTTCAGTTACTATTCCTTGAATGCATCCAATGAGAGTGAACAATCCAAACACAAAGCCAAAAATGTTGAGAGTCCGAAGAATGACCCACTTAGCCGTCCACGCTTGAGTACTGGACTTACTCAAGTATATTTCCACTGGAAAATATATGGTTAATGGCCAAAAGATTATGCTACCCAAAATTCCCAGAATCTGATTGAAGTAGGGAAAGATTATTGCAATCACAGTGGTTGACACAACATAAGCCGTTCGGAAAGACAGGCTGAGAAAATTTAGTTCAAAAGCAGGCAGCAATGCATGTTTCAAGATATAAGTGTTATTCACAAATTCACTGTTTGGGAATTTAAAACGGAACCAATTCTCAACAGTGGCAAAAAGTGGCTGGCTAAACACCTGCACCAAAATAAGGTAGATGACTAAGTTAAATGAACATGCATTCTATGATAGTAGATAACAGTGGACAGCAGATACGTTGCCATTTAGGCAGAACTGGCAAAACGTGTAGGCTATGATGATTTCATAACACGCTACTCTAAGAAAAGTGATGGAGAATATAGAATGATAAACAAATATCTTATCTAAAAGCTCAAGCTATTAAGTAAGGGTCACGTTGATAATTTTATATTAAATTTTTCTAACACATCCCCTCATCCAAAAGCACATTGAACTTGAAGGGTGAATAATGCAAAAGTCCAATCTGTGCTAAGAAATTCCACAATTAAATCAAACATAAGAATCGAAGAGATATAAAACGGTAGCACTATAATAAATTTTGACGGTGGTATACCTGATATGCTCCAACCAGGTGAACCACTATACAAGCGTTAGCAAAGTTTACAAGCCAATAAAACTTGGAGGATCCAAACCCTGTTAAAATATTTCCTGGTGTATCACTACCAAAGGCAGCGTATCCAGCACATCCACAACCAAAGTAGAAGAACGTTGTGACAGTGACTGATATTATTGAGGCCTTCTTCATGGTTTGGTTTTCTGGTGGAGGCGACTTCAAAGTATCCTTAAAGAATTGAGGTAAGTTATATCAGCCTGCTGTATAATTACTAAAACTTTCCCCCAGGGGCTGTGGCAAAGTTGCATTCTGTTTATTTGAGATACAGGGTAGATACCTGTATTTCCATAAGAATTGTCGAGAATGGATAGGAGAATGATATGTCACCAAGCGCTTGAGCAACCAGCCATAACTTTTCAGTTCCAGTGGAGGTACTGATTCCTTCAATGCTACCCTCAGCATGTCCTTTTTCTGAGCAAATGATTATCAGAAAATTATATAAACGTATCGGGTCACAACTAATAACTGGTCCAATATATATTTTCAAGCAACTGTCCATCACAAGCCAGCCATGCTGAGACTAAGGAAAGACTCCGATAATCAGGTATTGATGCTTACCTACGGCTTGCAATATGGAAAGCCCCATTCCAATGAAAGAATAAGTAAAGGACATAATTGCAGCGACAACTGACAGCCATTTGATGTCATGGAAGTTGGGTATCTGTGAGAGAACAATTTGGACAACCCCAAAAAGCAGCATATAATATACATCTGTAAATTCACATGCTGCTTCACCCCCTTTATTGTGGTAACAAATTGATTTTTGGATTGAGCTGCAGCCACAAATACAAATAGCAGTTCAAATAAATATTAGCAACATTGGTTTAATGAGATTCTGGGGATAGACTCATGTTTTCCTAGTGGAATACAAGTGAAAAAGTCTTGTTTTGCAACTGGTAGCATCCATAGATAAATGGAGGGAAAGAACACAAGTGTCAATGACACACCTTAAGCTGATAGCTGTTGTAATGATGAAGGCAATTCCAAAACCATATAAGCTTATATTCACAAGAAGGCCACAGAGACGTCCATTCCTTACTCCTGTAACCACCCAATGAGGATCTTACACAAGCAACCTTGCCTATACAAACATATTATTATGCCGTTCCAAATGTGGTACGATATTTGACTAAAAAATGATATAAAAAATCACTAGATGAAATATTGCCAAATAATAAACACACATTAACATAGTATTAAGCTTAATGCAATGACATTTCCCTAATTAAACATAAAACTCTTTCCTTTAATTTCCTAATCTTATTCTATGCAAATGAAAATTTAGATTGAGATAGTCCAATTCTTTTTCTTTCTGTTCGTTCCTGTTCACTCATTTCATCCCCCACCTCTCTCTCTCTCTCTCTCTCTCTCTTCATTCCCAAGTTGAGTTTTTCAATGTTTGTTTAAAAAGATCCCAAGCCCTGAATCTGAATCTAGAACTTTGATTATTTAAAAAATAAGTTCCTCACATTCAGCAACAAAAAACAATAACAAATAGGATTCAAGTGGATAATATACTTTGCATTATCTTGTAAGATCACAAATCACTTGAACAAATTGAGAAACAAATATATACAATAAATATAAGAATAAAGAATAAATAAAAGAAACCGTTTTTCAGCAAACCAACAAATACAGATTTTTTTTTTTCTAAAACAGATAGCTTGCAGGTATGTACAAAGGGTAAAGGATTGGAGATAAGTTAACTCCGGTAAATCTAAAACTATGTCGTTTTGGGTGGAATAATTTTAATATATTACAGGGTTATATTAGTCTTTTATCGTTATAATTTTTTAATTTTATAACGCTCGGAGATAATTTTATCTTTGGGAGAAATACTTTTCTCATAGACAAAATGGTAATGGAAAAGCAAAGGAATTGAAATGAAAAGGGGGGGGGAGGTACCTAAATGCAAATTGGTAACATCAAGGTAGGAGGCACTGGTGTGAGTTCCAAATTGTGGATCGGGAAAGCGATAGGTGTCTGAAAGAAGAAGAGAAGAGAAGAGAGTGGTGGAAGCAATGAGAAGGATGGAGAGTGGACCAGCAAGCCACCCAAGCTGTGCAATGCTCCATGGCAGTGAAAGCACTCCCGATCCTATCACCCCCGTCACTATGTGTGCTATTGCTGTCCATACCGTCCCTATTGTACAAACAATATTCATCACATCACATATGTTAAACATGATCAACAGAGTAAGATGATTCATTTTTAAGAAACAAACAAACAAAATTAATACACTTAAGATGATAGCACAAACCTGTTCTTTTGACAGAATGAGATTGGGTGAGTAACAGTGGGGTGTCGTCACTTGACGCAGCTGCCATTCCCATGATTCAATAATTCTTACTCTTATCAATTCCTGAGACACACACAATGGAAATTAGGCACCAGAGTTTTCTTAAATTAAAACCATAAATTTGCTTCAATATATTGAGAAAGGAGAAAAGTAGTGACACCCAACAAAGAAAAGTTTAAGCGTGGGACATAAGACAAGGATGGGGTTCTGGATGGAAACGGAGAGCATGAAGTACACGAGTCAAATGCGGAGAAAGACAGCAAAAAAATGATTATCCAACCTAACGAATGATTTCTATAATTTTAATAAGTAATACCTATCATCTTTTTCTGCGTCTACCACTTTAAAACATCGAATTATCATAATCTCAAGATAGAGAAAAATTAATATTAGTTAAAATTCTAATCTAACAGTCTTTTTAAAGTGATAAACAAAGATAGACAGAAAAAAATAATTGCTAGAATAATTTATCTCTTTTATTTTTTATATAAAAAATATGAGATCTTTTTTTTTTCACATAAATTCTATATAGTTTTAAATTTATGTGAGATAAAATTATTTCTTGCCGTATAAGATATGTTCTGGATACAACTTACATTAGGTCCACCAGATGGGCCCAACCTCTCAAAGCTCACGGTCTAGAACATTCTAGAGGGCAGCCATGGCAAGTCAGAGAGGCTCTCCACTGGAACATCTCCCTTTTCCTGCACTGTTGCCCCTGTACATTGACAGGGCCAGCTTGATCGTGGGCTGTCCAGCTCAAGCCCCCATGCAAGAGAGGACTTTTTTCTCTAAATACCCCTCTCACACATGGAGAGGGGATCTTCTTCTTCCTCACTCCTCTCATATGCTGTCACACACACACTCCTCATTTGAGTACATACATGAGAAGTTCCACTAGTACATTAGTCTCTACCATTGCTACTATGGATACCCTTATATCAACATACTTCACCTTTTATGAGACACATCTATGTACCACTTTGAGTACAAGATATATTAATCCCATAAGTAGTAAAATAATAACCTGATTCTGGGTGCATAATAAGAATCTAGAAATTTCAGTCAACTACAAGATAGAGTAAAATAAAAAGAGAACAGGAGAACTTTTACTTGGAGATTACTTTAACATGATAACGTAATACTTTTCTTTAAGTTGCATAAAAAAAATATTATTTCTTATTCAAATAATAAATGGAAGAGAGAAAAAAGTTGAAGATAAAAAAAAATTAAAAAATTGTACGATCCATTTAAAAATTGTGAGTATAAAAGATAATATTTTTTTTATATAACGTAAAAAAAAAATTACCCTCGTATAAATGCACTTATCAGCTGCGCATTCTGCAGAAAAAAGAAAATTACTATTTAGTAACAAAATTGAGGCATACTTCATTAAAACTGTTCCAAATATGCGCAAGACGTAACTGAACGCTCTAATTAGTTGTACATATATACTACAGGAAAACCCGTAAGTAGGACCACGTAATTATGCAACTGAGCTCTAACTTCTAAGGTTGTTGTAAGATTTAGCGGTCCTGATTTTGTTTCCACATATACTCAATCAAGCTGCTACACCTGTTTTGACTAAAATAGTGGAAATGAAAACACATGGCTCTTTCCACATTAAATATCTGCAGAGGTTTGGAGCCTTTTTAACTTTTAGATGCATCAAGTTATGGAAATCAGTGCACCACGTTTGAGACAATAAATTCAGTGGTCCCAGTTCATTATTTATTCGGTCAATTAAAACTATATAATTATTAAGAAGAGAGGAGACAAGAGACATAAAAAACAAAATTTTATTCAAATATCACTTCCTAAATAAAATACCCACATGGGCCTGAAGTCCCAAAATTTCCCCCCATCTTTTAACCGTTGAATAGAGTTAACTTTACATCAACGACCAGCAATCACCCACCTGTAACCTGTGCTACACGTTATGGTTTTTTTAATGGAAACGGTTTATTTTATTTCTCTTTCTGTTCATTTTTAAAAAACATGACTAGAGTTTTTTGTTTGCTTTCTATTGTCCTTTTAATTTTTTTTGGTAAACACTTTTTTTTTTGGTGAGGGTGGTAAACACTTTCTATTCTCTTTTATTCTAGTTGTTTTATTTTCTTTTCTAGCTTTGACTATTTTTTCTTTTAATTTATTTTTTTAAATTTAATAATTGGTATAATACACGAATTCGTTCTGGTTAATCTAGTTATAATTCGTTAAAAAAGAAAAAAAAATCTACTTTTTCCATGACACATTTAATAAATAAATATCTAATTCATTTGTTAATTATTTTTTACGAATGGGGATATCCAATCAATCCATTTAAAAGCATTTTATATTTAAAATTAATTTGACTTTTTATCTTTTACTCAGTGCCATCTTTCTTTAAATTTTACCCGTTTCTTTAATGTTGATTTCTAATTTTTCTCTCTCCAAATTTCATTATCTCTTAAAATTCCTCTTTAAAAAATTCAAGCCGTCTAAAAAACACGAAAGGCAGAGCTGGTAACGTGGTCGCTTAATTCCTTTATGCAAAAAGTAAATAAATAATCTTAATTCCCTAGTAATTTTTATATGGAATTAGTGTTCATCCTTTTAAAGAAAATAAAATTGTCATTTTAATTAAAACTACTATATTTTATACTTAGAGAAACAAAAATTATGTTAAAAGAAAATTAGATATTTTTTTAATATAAATATTAAATAAAATAATAATTTTAATTAAAATAACTACCCTTTAAAAAGGCAAGCATTTCCCATTGGAGGAATTTAACTCCCAAAATATGTGAAAATATAGCATTCTCAAAAAATATATATAGCATTCGTATTTCAAAATATATATATATATATATATATATATATATATATATATATATATATATATATATATATAGAGGATAGGATCAACTTACACCGGTGTAAGAATAATAAATCTTATATATATAGCATTCTCAAGTTCAACGGCTTTTCCAACTTTCATAGGATATTATTGGTCGCGTCCTTTCTTTGATAATTTCCAACTTCTACACCCATGTATTAAATCAATGATACTTAAGAATAAAAGACACGGTACACCAAACATTTCTTCCTTTTTATGTCGCATAACTTCTAACAACATAACGTCTGTTTGCTTGGTACATCTGAAAGTGGGAAACAAAAATTAGGACAGCAAAAAGTTTGGTATGGAAACTACTTTGTACTTGGTTAATATGGGAAAAACAAAAGATGGTTGAAAATGAGATGCACCTTTTAATTTGGTCCTCTTTATCAAGTAACTAGAGCGCTGGGAAAAATAAATGCTTGATTAGATTTCTTTCCGCTGATAATGACTCTCAAGACAAACAAAACGATGCAAGAATCCATCAACAGGCAAAACTCTTAGTAAACAATGTTTTTGGACAAAATGTTTCAAGTCAGCAACGTTACATCCATGAAAGTAGATTTCCTATTCTAACTACATACCCAATAACGCCCTCAGGAATAGATCCATTTTAAGTCATCAAAGAGCATTTATCATTCTCTTCATCTCTGCAGACCTCCTGGGATCTGGTTCTTCAATTGCTCTCTCAGTAAGTACATGCTTGATGCGGCACATCGACTTTCTCACCTGATTTCACATAAATAAATCGACAAAAAATTATTTATAAACATGTATGGTTTTTTTTCCCCCTTCCCCATCAGAGTTTAATATTCGACATTCAATTTTCTCTAATCAGTTCTCTACCAGGCATTGTTCAGAAAAAGAAGATCGAAGCACTACCAGTGTTGTTGTATACCAAACATCCAGATAACTAAGGGTAACCAGAGCAACATACATGTAAATCAGAACAAGTGCAAAGAAGTGAAGTAATACCTTGGGGATACGCTCTGGGTTAGGAAAACGCAGGTTCTGTGCATTAAGCATCTGACGTTGAGTCATCAACATGTTTTTCTCCTTTAACAATACATACCACAACTTATGAAGGTCATCCCAAGATTTTAGACGCAATTCCGTGGCTTTCCAACTCCTACCTAACAAAGGTCAAATAAAGAAACAAAGCCATTACTAGAACAAAAGTGGCATGACTTTCAAAGCTCAATGGAGAAAATCTGAATTTTTTGTTGTGCTGAACAAATGTGTCTATAATGAAAATAAGTGAAAATTTTCATCCAAATCCAAATAAAAATAAGAGGTACAGAATGCATACCATAGACAACAGGTTTGTCATCATCAGGGCTCCTGTCTGCCTCAAAGAACTCCTGAAGGGGGTTTTGACCTTCCTTGACACCACCAGCAGCTGCAGTGGCATAAGTTTTTGATCTGGCAGCAGCAGCAAAGAGTGTTCGTCCAAATGTTCTTGACAAAAACATAATTGTGATACCAATCAGACTGATCTACAAAGTAAGAAAGCAGAAAACAAGCTGATTCCCACGCAACCAATGTTGTCAAAATCAAATAAAATATTTTCATACATAACTGGATTTTGCGAGTGATGTATCATTGAGATCGAGTATGATCAAGTAGCAACTGAAAAATCATATTGTTTTGGAGGTGGTGCTGGTGAGTGGGAAGAAACGAAAAGGAAAAAAAGTGCAACTCTCAAACTGAAAACCCCTAATAGCAGAGGCCACTTCTCCTGTTCTTTGCACCCACACATGTCGGAATTGGGTTGGGTTTACAGTCAGAGTATGGGCCAGTCCAAACTACTCAACCCTAGCCCATATGGTCAGGACCAAAAAGGCAACAAAGCAAAAAGCCCAAAAGCCCATGTAGGGTAGGGCCAGCCCACTAAATTACAAAAAAAGAAGAAGTAAAAATTAGTGAAGCATGGGCACTATTAACTGAGAGGCAGACAGCAAGGAAAATGAAAAGCAAGAGGTGCACTCTTTACTAACATATTTTTGTTGATAAAAATACAGAAGTAACATGTAAATGATTATCATGTTTACGTATGATGCTATCTGCATAGCTTTGCAGATTTATCACAGGAAACAAAAGCTCTAAGATACAACCAAGGCTAGGATTATAATTAGGTAAAAGAACAAGCAAACAGATGCGAATAGATTAGTTTGGGGCATGACCAGCATATTACTTTTACACGATGTGTTTGGAATATATTAATATTATACATACATAAGTTTCACTTACAGTGGTTTTGATAATTTTGTCAACCAAAATTGTAGATTAGGTCCTCCTCAGAATATATGAAATTATCTTTCAACTAGATGAGGCTGTTTTGGTTTCTTTCTGAAGAAATATCAAGTAGGTACATCCGCTCTATTGGGGTATTTAATTTTTTCTAATTGATCTTAAAAAATTGTTTCTTTCTTTAATTTATAGAACAGAATTCTATGTAAATATATGTTCCCAAAAAATTGAACACATATTCCCAGGAATTAGTGCACAGACTTGACTTCTAAAATTTTAACAAAAAGGCTTTATAATGCAATAACCACCCCTGCTGTTAATCTCATTGGTCTACCCAGTTATCATCTGTTGGGGTTCCATTTGCAAGGTATGGGACTTGGAGTCCCACATTGGTTGTATGGGTAACTAATGTGGGGTTTATAAGGCTTTAGACACTCCCACCCTTTGAGCTAGCTTTTGGGGTAGTGCATCCCAAGGTCTCATCAAATGGTATCAGAGCATCCATCACGTGGAGTTGTGCGTGAGGGCACGCACTAGGGAAGCGTGGTGGAATGTTGGGGTTCCATTTGCAAGGTATGGGACTTGGAGTCCCACATTGGTTGTATGGGCAACTAATGTGGGTTTATAAGGCTTTGGACACTCCCACCCTTTAAGCTAGCTTTTGGGGTAGTACATCCCAAGGTCTCATCATCATCCCTTACCCCTACCATGACAAGATGGAAGTCAGAAGCTTGAGAACCTAGCGGGTTCAGATAGCCAGGCTGATTGAAGTGGGCAATATGCTGAACCAACCATGGATTAAGGCAGCACAGCTGATTTGATTACTTATTAAATTTTGTTTCTGATCAGTACATGCTCTTGGCCAACCTCTAACTTCATAGTTTAGATTTAAAAATACATTGGAATAGAGCTGTTAAAACAGGCCACCCCGGTCCGTTAGGCCCTAGCCCACGCGGGCCAGGGCTAAAAAGCCCGCATATTAAACAGTCTGCACGGGCCAAAAAATCACATAACCCAACGGGTTAGGGCCAGCCCGCAGGCCAAAAATCTTATATTTTAGATTAAGCAATTATATATACTGTAAATCAAAAAGTGTACATCCAATGAACATTTAGCAATTGGTTGCCTCTCTCAATGAACTTGACAGAAAAAAATTCGTTGGTGCACTTGTCCCTAACCAGTAATCATATGCACTTTTACCATACATAAATGAAAATGAGAAATAATTAGTTTTTTAAGGGCCATTTACATCAATTGTAAAACTGAAGTAATTGGAGTTTCAGATTCAACTTCGTCATCCATAACTGAAGTAAAGAAGATATTAGGGAAATGCCACACTCTTGACATGGGTTAACACTTATCATCATATAACATTAATGAGTGCTAAAAGCAATCAATCAATAAATAAATATTGTAAATATCTCTGCAGAATTTGTGGCCAAATTCATGAGAATATTATACAATTTGAAAAGCAATATTGCTATTCTTAGACAAAAAACCAGAATATTTAAGAAGCCGGTGATTTCAAGAGAAAGAAACATCTTTCTATCCAAAGGGTTCTTTTCCTTTATCTTTTTTTTTTTTCTAGTTAAAATGATGCTTTTTCTGTATTCTACTGGATCAGAAAGCCCATGGTATATCCTGCTACAACGGTAATGGCACGTGATGGTTAATTTTACTATTTCTTTATATTTCATGATTTTTTTTTTTATTTGAGGCTGTTGCAGCGGAAATTTTATGGTGGGTTTGAGATACTTAGGGAGGCAAATTTGTATGGGTGATGGCCTTGATGATGTGCAGATCATAAAACGAATTTATGAGTGCAGGTAAGTTTATGGCACTGTGAGTGGATTCTGCTTCAGGGCTAGGAAGAAGAAGCAAATCATTCTAAAATTAGCTTTAATCTAGGTTGTCAATAGCGGCCCGTAGCGCCGCTAAACCGCTACCGTAACGGGTAGCGGCTGTCGGCCTCTACAAACCGCGACGCTACGCGACATTGGCCGTAGCGGAAGGTAGCGGCGTAGCATAGCAGCAATACCACTACCCGCTACACCGCTACCATGTTGGAATTTGATGGAGAATCCGTAGATGATGATGATTTTCTTTATTAGTTCACTTCTTGTACTTGACTATTTGACAATTTTATTGTTCATTTGTGTTTAATTTTGGATCCTTCCTTTATGTTCCTTGTATTTGACATTGATTGTGGAATTATGTGTTTGATTTTGTGTGACTTCTTATGTTTGAACATTAATACTAAAAGTGGTATTGCCTCGTTTCTTGACTGTTAGTATAATATATGTGGAATTAATACTTCACCGTAGCGGCAATACCGCTACCCGCTACACCGCTATACCATTTTCGGGGTCGGCCGCTACCGGCCGCTAACTGCTACTAACAACTATGGCTTTAATCCAAGAACTAATGTACTGAGAATCGACCACAAACAAAGCATGTATTCTAGCTTATTGATGAATAGAAAAGCTTTCACTACTGGCATGACAATGGAAATTCTACAAGTATCATTACTAGCTTTCACTTAGAAGTGAAGCAATTTATGAGCAAGCAAAACAAACCTGAAATTTACACACGGGCATAAAACAGACACACAATAGGTATAAAGACAATGAGTCATTAATCAATAAATTAGTATTTCTTCACAATTGCAATAAATTAGTTTCTACCTTAATGGTAATCAATCCTTCACAATTGTTGATCATATAGTAACACCAAAAACTAAGATTTCCCCCCTCGTTAGGAGTAGAACTAAATGCATACTCCAAAAACTCAAATGCTTAATCAAAAGCATGTTTTTTTATAATAAATAAGTAAGCGTAGACAAATGGGTCTGGCCAATAATAAAAGTGCAAGCATCTTTAGCATAACTTTTCAAAGTGCAGCACCCACTCAAATAGAGCCTAACCTCCTCCACTGCCTACTTTGGAGTCAGCATGAATATGATGTAATGTATTTCTTCATGTGCTATGATTCTTGAGACATTACCCCGAACCCTGTAATTTTGATAAGTTCAACATTGATCCTTCAAATCTTTTAATTTGGTTCAATCTATTGAAGCTTAATGCTGAACAATTTCTAAAACCTAACCTATTTGAATTATAGCTAATTTGCTTGGGACAATCTGGGCACCCAATAACACATGATCTGCTGACTAGTGATGGTAAGTTTTGTACATTTAGATTTGTCTTCTATTGTTATATTCTTTTATTTTATGACTGGCTGTAGAAGTGATATTTTAATACTTCATTTTAGATCATTTGGTATGGCAAAAAAATGAGTAGCCTCTTATGCAGGCACTTTTAATTTGTATGCAGATGATGAACCATGGTTATGAGGAGGCTGCAGTAAGCCTTCAGAAGGAAGTTGAAAGGCAGAAAAATTAATTTTAATTAAACAAACATCAGCACTGAGAGCTCATCAGCTTCTAGTAGAGCAATTTTAATTTTAATTTTTTGATAAAGAATGGAGGAGAAAAATTAAATCCTAATACACATGACAATGTGAAAGATACTGTTCTTCACTTTGTTTTATCACAACCTAGTAAACAAAGTTAAGAATGAAATTGATAAGAAAAACAGAGACCAACCCATTGTTCTCTCCGGGTACAGCATGTCATATACAAAATCCAAGCTTCTGCCCAATTAAATATAAATCCACAAGCATGATGGAATGGTAATCATTGAACAGAACTCAAAATTGACACGAAGAAGAAAAAATAAGCATAACTGACATTCAGCATCAAAAGCAGCATAGTTGATTTTTCTGACACGAAAATTACTATAGCTGTTATCTGAAAACACAAGCAAATAAAAATTCCACTGACAAAATTTCAAGTTTCTTTAACAAAAACCAGCAATAATTCTATAAGAGTATTGCATCTGGATCCAAATAAAACCAAAAAAAAATGACTACGCTACAGATAACAGCTACTCCAAATAAAACCATATTAGTTCTACACAAATACCCAATATTTGTGTAGAACTAATGTATTTAATGCCTAAAATTTATGATAAATGAAGAAGAAAGGAAAGTCAGCTATACCTGTAAAGAAGAAGAAGAACTAGTTGAAGGAAGAAGAAATCAGAAGAGAAGAAGAACGAGTCAAACAACCTTTGTGAAGAAGAAGAACTATGAGAAGAAAAAGAAAAAGAAAAAATAGCTCGTGGAGAAGAAGAACGACGACAAAGAGAAATTAGGTTTTGGTAAAGGGGCTGGCCCGCGGTTGACCCTTCTGTAACCCAAAAAGAACAAGGGCTGAAAAATAACCCTACTATATGAGGGCTAAAAACCGTGAGGGCTGAAAATGAGGGTTAAAGGGGTGGCCCACGGGCTTGGGGCCTTTTTGACAGCTCTACATTGGAATATATATAGTGGTTATGAATCAGCCTAATGTTGTTATCCAATTTGATAAAATTCTGGCAGTGAAAATATCACAAACAGATTCCACTGCCAGTAGTTTATTCTCATCACAAATTCCCACACCAAGCTGCAAGTGAGCAGCAAGGCTCTTGAAACATGATTCTCATCACAAAAATGATTCTTACACGCATCAAAGAAAGTACTACATATCTCTAAACAGCAATATATACGTCAACAAGCGCCCAAGACATTCATCTTGTAGCACTCAGTCATGTGATTCTAACCATGTCATAACTAGGCACTAACTAGGTTCTCTCTTCCCTATACTAAAATTGAAAAAAGTACAATTTGGATGACACACCATTGACCACTATAGTAAAACTAGGGGATTTTGAGTTTTGATTGGTATATAAACAGGAGACTACACTTTTCACTAACTTTGGTACATGATATAATCTTACTAAATTCAAGGAGAAAAAAATTCACACATAATTAGGCCTAGAAGGAAATAGGACTGGTAAAATATTAAGTGTATCTAACTGATTTATTTGGAAATTGAAAATTTTCTGAGAGGCCCATGAAAGCAGATCAGATTTTTTTTCTTATAGTTGAAAAAGAAGAGAGGCATAAAGGTCAAAACTAAAAATCCTAGAAAAGGACAGTTTTCTGTGAAACAATAATAACAAACTTTCAACAGTTTCCCTGTTGATCTTAAAAAGTGAAAACTGAACCACATAATACAAAACTGACGGAAATTGGACAAGAAATAAGATGCTTTTGGCTTATAAATTATGCTTAAGTTTGCTTAAAACAAAAACTATGATCTCTACAGAAAGTGAAGGGTTACCAAAAGAAAAAATAGCATAACGATCTACAATCTGAAACTCTACTACAGGAATTTTGAGTGCAGGAGAACATAAAACAACGTAGCATTGTAGCCCATATGGCTATATAGGATTATAGTAATAACCTTTCCAGAAAACTGGCAATGCAATGCAATGCACCATACTAAATTGTCCAGTATACCAAGAATTAATCACGCAAAATATCCCAAATAAATTTTCCTCTAGAAGGTGAGAAAAAACATGCTAAACCAGAAGATAAGGTTCAGTTTATCTACTATACAGTAATTACACAAACTAGTCGTAATTATTACAGATATCCATTTAGCAAGAACAGAAAAAGTAGTAAGAAGTAGCGGACAACACATAGAAGAGTTAAATTACTCCAAGAAGTAAACTCCCCCAACTAGTAAAGCCTGGTTCAGCTACTCTAGCGTGATTCAAAAGCAGAAGGTAATGAATTTATATATATCCGTGCACACCATTGAAGCAAGCAGACCAACAATTCATGATATAATTGCACATGGACAACATGAGGACAAGCAATAATGGATCTTGGGGAACATATAATAATTTGATAAACCAAAAAAAAATGCACTAATAGGAGGTTGTGATATGTTTGATCTATAATCTATCTCTGAAACCCAGGTTTGGCAATGTTTATAGATAGAGATATAAGAGACGGAAAGAGAGAGAGAGAGAGAGAAAGAGAGCGACAAACCCTTGAAGAGAAAGCGGGTTGTAAGTCACAGTGAGTTGGCTAAAACTGACACAGAAGAAGATAACCGCTACGGTAAATGACAATACGCAGCGTCGGAGAAGGAGGTTCTGCAACTGCACTCCTGCGGCTGCTGAAGCTACCCAACTAGAAACCTTGCTCATTCCTTTTCTTTTTCTTTTTCTTTTTTAAAAAAAATACCTTTTAACCCGACCCATCAACCATAAGTTGAACCCAACTAAAGAAAATGGATTGAAATGTAAAGCCCAAACTAGCACGTATATAATAAATTGTATATCTATTAAATTTTATTTTCTTAATTTTTTTATTAATGGTTAATGGGAAATGTACATATAATGTTACACCATAGGGAAGGATTTTCCTGCATATACATTGAGTTTTGTGCCTATTCATTTTTGTTATTTTTTATATAAAAAAAGTTGTCCCACAAAATATTTATCTTGCAGAAATTCGATCTTTTCTGCAACAGGAGGAATGTAACTCACATGATTAATATATCTCTCTTTTTTCTAAGGAAAGTAATCCTCTTATTTTTACTAGTGTCATATTCAAATAGTTGATGATATGAAAAGGTTGCATTCAACTGAAAAGGCGTACCAATTTACCAATGAGTACAAATAGAGTAGGAGAATACGGTGATATATTTTATTTATTTGTTTATTTATTGCATAGGAAGGACATTAGATTATCATTACTTAATAACGAAAGGAGATAGAAGAAGAGTGGAGGGAGGATCAATAACTAATCAATCGTTACATTTCCTTAACCAATCATCTCATCATGAGTCAAAACAATTTCATAGCCTGAAGCCAATGTATATTTGTTGGATGAGTGGTAATACGTGTCTTTGGCACCAATATTTCTTCTTATGCTTTCTAGATAGTAGTAGATTGCATACATTACACAAAGTATTCATCAATGTTGACAATATGTTCTTTGTTATTTGATTTTGCAAGCTACTTTTAGAAAATAAAACACACACAATAAATGTGTAGACTTATTTTATACCATGTCAATGTAAAGAACAAAGTTTTGATGTGACCCTGCACAAACTTTTAGCTAAATCTAATAATCAAGATACATCACAAGTTTTTGTATGTGTATAGACTTGTTTATGTAGCATTTCATTTTCTTTTAAGGGAGTTCTTCACCAAACAGAACTATTCCATGTGCAATACCACCTTCAGTTTCAGACATCCCCACATAATTGCTTACTCTCCCATATAAATAAATAGAATTAACTTGGAAACTGAATTACATGAATGATAAGGCTACCAAACAACAAACTCCAAACAAATTAAGCACCATCAAGGGGACTGGCATACACCTTTCAGCTTAGTTTCTCGCTTATGATTCCTTCAAGTGATCCAGCCAGACTCACTACTGTCACCAGAAAGCAAACAAAGCTAAACGTCCTAAGAACAATCCATTTTGTAGACCAAGCTTCAATTTTCTTCTGCACAAAGTACATCTCTACAGGGAAATATATAGCCAATGGCCAAAAGCTTAAGGCTCCTAACACTCCTAGAACTTCATTGAAGTAAGGAAACAGGATTGCAAGTCCAGTCGTGGAAATCACATAGGCTGTTCGAAAGCATATCCTGAACATGTTTAGCCGAAAAGCAGGTAATAGAGGCAGTTTCAATTGGTAGAAATTATTAACAAAGCCACTGTTGGGGTATTTTCTTGAACACCATCTATCAACAGCACTGTATGTTGGCTGACTGTAAATCTGATGAAAAAAGATTGAATAGAAGAATCACAAACTATGATTTGTCAGGTATCATAAAATTTGAACTTTGATTAGCAGCACTAGTACCTGATATCCTCCAACCAAATGAACAGCGATGCAAGCATTAGCAAAGTCAATGAGCCAGTAAGGTTCGTAAAATCCAAACCCTGTCAAGAGGTTTCCTGGTGTTTGATTTCCAAAAGCTGCATATCCAAAGCATGCACAGCAGAGGTAGAAAAATGTTGTAATGAAGACAGCAATCATGGAGGCCTTTTTCATGGTCTTGTTTTCTGGTGGAGGTGACTCTAGAGTGTCCTTCACTCAAAATAAATAAATAAATAAATTCAATACATTGCTTCAGCTTTAGATTGTGTCTCATTTCTCTTACAAATTCCTATTCCCACCCAATTTGAATATAAAAAGGTACCTGTATCTCAAGGAGGATAACCGTGTATGGATAGGCAAAAGCAATATCACCAAGTGCTTGGAAGACTAACCATAACTTGTCAGCGATATTTGAAGCCGGTACTCCGGTTAGACTCCCCATAATTCTTCCATTTTCTGCAAGTGCAACCATAAGTCTTATAATCCATTGTTCTCCTTCAGCTCTCTAATTCTAAGAAAATATCACAATATAGTTTGTTTCTTCATATAAATTCAGAATTCCATAGTTTTTGGCATTTAATATTTTAGAAATGGAGCAGCTTAATATGGGTTTTAGCACAAAAATACTTTTCTTGCTTCATCTTATTGCTTGAATGATCAAAAGGATTGAATTGACAAGTAAATAAAAGCTTAAATTAATTAATGAAAATGAACCTTACCTACTACTGTTTTAATGCCAAGTCCTAGTCCAATAAATGAGTATGTAAAGGACATTATGGCCGCAACAACAGAAACCCATGCCATGTTGTGGAAATCTGGTATGAATGACATTACCACCTGAACAAGTCCAAACATTATCATATACTCGGTATCCCCATATTCACAAGCAGCCTGATGCCCTTCCTTGTGATAACAATTTGATTTCAGAATCGCTCTGTATTTGTAGAAAAACCATATTATTAGAACAAGAACAAAAATATCAGCAAGGGAGTCTCTCTAATATATCATGAAAATGAAAAGCAACAGATGCAAGTATCGAATTACAACACAAAATCAATTGCATAGAAATGATGGTCATATCATTTTATGAGGTATTTAACAGGAGAAGTACCTCAAACAGGTTGCTGTGGTAATTACATAAGCGGTACTAGTCCCATACAAGACCAAATATTGAAGAAAACCAGCCAACCATGTCCTTTTATTGCCTAAGTTAACACTAAAAGCTATTAGATGGTATAATTATGATGGCAGTTTACTGGAACTATATCCTAAATTTGAGGCTAGAATGATTGTACAAGAGCAAGGGAAAGAGTTAATGTGGTACTACCAAGATAAATTCTAACAGCATCCATGTAAGAGTTGTTTCTTTTCCAAGTTACAGGATCTAGAGTCCTGTAACATTCGGAAAGGAGGAATGAAGAAATATAGGCGACAATTGCACAAAAAATCAAGAATACTGGTCCTGCAATCCATCCTAATTGGGAAATACTCCATGCCAGAGACAAAACACCAGCACCAATAATAGCGGTAATGATATGAGCCACAGCACTCATTAAAGTTCCTGGTAGAATTGATGGAAGGACTAAAATTCAGGATTCAAATTCAAGTATATGTAAATGGAATGGTCATGGTCCTATAGAATTTTACCAGTTCTCTTGGCATGCCCATCATCATCATAAGCGCTAATTCCACTTCTAGCTATTTGTAGTGAGTTTTGCACAGCCATTTTTATCCAAGCATCTAATTCAATGGAAGCCCATGGAGATTACTGTGATTGAATCCCATTAAAATGTTAAGAATTAAGTATGAGTGATAATTAATTAAGTCCTAAATTCGATAGCAATGGATTAAATACAGATTGTATAAGTAGAATGACCTATGAATCGAGTATCTTAAGATTTTAGGTTAAGACATGATGTTTGAGAATATTTATTTTAGTTTGTATTTCCTACCTAAGGTGGCTTAATATTTAAAGATAGTGATTTGTATACCTACAATGGCTAAGAATGTCCTAAGTAACGATCATATAAGTGGAAAAATTCCCAAATTCAATGCCTTAAAGTTTTATGTTAAGATATTATATCAAGTTCACTTATTATGTTTGGGTTTTCTACATAGTTCAAGATAGTTGCCTCCCCTGTCACACGAAAGTCCAGAGCTAACTACATTGAAACAAACTAGGCAGCGCCTACTTGAATATGTATGATGGGTACCTACGTTGTTTTCGTGTACTTGTGACATGCCCATGAAATTCAAGAAGGAGATATCATTTTATATGAAGTTTTTAAATTGATAAAGTGTTTCCTTCTTTGACGTCTAGGACAAATCTACTAAAGTTAGATGATTAACGGAGCTGCAATGAAGAAGTTGCAGGAAAGAGAGTAAATAAATCTAAACTCTTTTGATAAACATTTGCATGTGTATTGTCTTGTGTCATAGGAACATGAGCCACTCCAAAATGAAAGCGGGACTCTTAAAACTTTTGGAAGCCATGTCCTAGATAACCAAAATGTGCAAAACAGTACAAGTGTAAAACAGAAAACATTACCAGCTACTTGATACAGGATAAGATTAGGAAAATGTCTCTGTACTTGACCCAACGCTCATGCGCTTGATTTCAATATAATTACAGGCCAGAAGGAGAAGGTTCACAAGGATGCAAAAATGACATTTAAACTATGAAGCTGTTGTATAGGGTGTGAATGTGATTATAATTTATAAGCTGTCTATTAGCCTTCTATCAAAAGACTATGAAGTTGTGATTAGGCCTTTCAAATAATGGGGCTGTCGTGTTCTACATGCTATATTCTCTCTATAGTCATAATAGTGGAAATGAGTTAGTATCTAATAGAGAACCAGAGACTTACGTCTTAGGACTAACTTAATAAAAAGTAGTCTGTTAGTTCCTTTTTTTATTGGTTATAGATTTTTGTTATTAATTTGCAGATTTTGTGTTATGCCTCTCCTATAAGAGAATGAGTCAGTATTATTTGCTGTGCATCGATATAGAATAATTTTCAAGTGGTAGTCTTCATCAAAGAAGGTGATGAGAAATATGATTGTTTTCTCCTTTGAATTGAAAGCACTCCAAACGTGAAAGACCAGAAAGTTTGAGGCCCCTATTTTCCAACCCCTCCTTATCATAGCTAGGACCACTTCTAGCTTTTTTTTCTTCAAGCAATGTATGTATAGAAAATTTTGGATTCCGTTGAAGAGTACGCAGAATCATTGACGTAAAATGAACGTAATTGCAATATGGTCCAACCCTTCCGGATCATACGTAAGGCCTACTACGTCTCATTTCATGCAACCTATAATTTTGGATTCCATTGAAGAGTATGTAGAGTCATTGGCATGAAAGTATAATCTTTGTTCAGTTGAGTGATGTCTTGTCCTGACTTTAACCTCTGATTGATTGGAATATCATTTGGTCATCCTTATCGGTAAGGAAGGATCGTGCTAATTTTATGGGACTCTGTGGTCTTCTCAAGCTGATTTCAGACAATAGAAATTAAGACACAGTAATAACTGGGTTACTAAGTAATCTAATGAACTGATCCCAAAGTTGGTTGAGAGAATCATTTTCTCAGGAGTATTCATTGGGCAGAAGATGAAGATGCTATATGGAAACTTTCAGTAACATAAAAAGAGCAACTAATGTGTACAATCATCAAAGTGTATGTGGATTTTTGCACAGAAAAGTTTTGAAGTGGCATTGCATAGATACAAAGATAAATGTAATGGTGGAGGAAGAGGTGTGAGTTTTTGTATATTTAAAATGATGTCCAGATACCAACAACCATTGCTCTAAGTGATAAGGAGCTTGCTCTCCTTAATTAAAAATCTCGAAGCCTTGAGAATGGGAAAAATTGTCTTAGAAGAGTCTGCCCCTTATAATGAGTTCAACACTGCTCAAATTGAACTAATCAGGTAATTGATGAATTGGTGGATATATCTAACAAAAAAAAAAATGCTTTCCAAATATAATACTATCCTTGATTTCAATCAAAGAGGACTATGCTTGCTAACTACATTCCAAATATGAGGTTGCCTCTAAGATTGGGACCATCCTAGTAGTGATCATCTGGTTAACGTATGTATAGCATTTTATGCCAAAATGTGATTGAATCAGAATTTCTCCAAAACTATCTTTTAACTTAGTAGCATTTTATGCCTATGTAGCAGGTTGGTCCTGTTGCTGATACCTGGACCATCTTTTAACTTAAATACTCAATAGGAAATTTCTGTTCAAGCCTGTGGTTTCAAAAGCTGTATTCTGATATTTCCAAAAAAAAAAAAAAAAAGCTGTATTCTGCTTTTAATAAATTGTTGATTTTAACTCAACAGGAATATTTTCCTTTTGGTAGCACACATAAACTTTCCTACATGCATTAAGATTATACCATTGGACCCACTTGAATTTGTTCTATACGGTCATAAGGCCCAGTTAGGTTACGAAAACTAAACTAAAAGTGAATTTGCAAACAGGAACCATTAGGCCATATCAAGTTACTACCATAGTACCCAACGATAGCTAGCCCAGCCCGTTAACGGGACTTACCAAAGAATCTTAGTTTTTCTCAAAAACAAGAGGATGTTTATTTAAAGGATAAAGTGTGTGTGTCATTTTAAATAAGCGAAAGTGAATATAAAAAAATAAAGTTATGGGTCACACTTTTTTGTAAGAGTAAAATGACATAAATTGTGTCATTTAAAAGGACAAACACTTTTTCCGATCATTGTATTCTCAACTTTGATTTCTTTATCGTTATTTTTTTTTTATTTTTTTGGTGAAGTATCGTTATTTCTCTATGAGCAAGTATGTCGTATAATATAGGGTATTTTTAAATACAGATAAAATGTACAAAAATATAAATTTAAAATATTTTTAAGAGGATATTAGTTTAATCAATAGATTATTATAATAATAAAATTACAATATAAAAAGTACATGCATTTAAGATTGAAGAAAAGTCAAGATTTATTTTGAATGAATTACTAATTAAAGAGGAAAAAGTATTACTTTGATTTGTATTGAAAGCTTAGAAGACATGTATTATAAAATGAGAAAGAAACCTTGCTACATGAGGAGAGTACCTAAAGAGATTATTCCACTATCATCAATTAAGACTCGAATTTGTTTTATATGAATGAATTTTTCAATTTTAAGATAGTAAACCTGTTCAAATGCTTCACAAAAAATGTTAATTCAAAACAACAAAGTTTGAAATAAATTAAATACTTAGGTACACACTCATGAAATGCACGGTATTTTTTTTTTTTCCTTTCGTTATCTGTATAAATGTTTACCTAAAAATTTTTAAATAAACAAATAAAAGTTTAGTATGGATCCAAAGTTATATATCATACATTAAAAAATACTTTTTTTTTATTTGTTAACTATTAAATGTACCCTCTCTCTTTTTTCAAAGTCAACCTCACATGATACTCTCACAAAACAAAAACAACCCGAAATGGTAATTAGACGTCTCTCACGAAACACTATTGCAAGTCAATAATAATTACCGGGGTGGACTCATAGTAAATTAAAATATTTTTTCATCTATACTTTTATGTGGACTAATTTCGTTCAATACAGATATTTATCCTAGCTTCACTTCTTATGAGATTCCATATATGCAAGTTAAAGTTTTGTCAAAGCAAACATTGACATTTTCTTAGCTATATCAAATGAATATTGCAAATGGTTAAGTATGTTGAAAAAAACATGGTGGAGAGAAGAGAAATTGCAATTTAACTTGATAATGAAAAAGTGCATACAATATCTACAAAAAAACAAAAAAAGGTTCGTAGAATAATCATGTGACTTGTACATAACAAGCAAGAATAACCAAATAGTAATCAACTAGATGAGTTAGCAAAATAATTTAACTTCTGACTAAATTAACCAAAGTCTAACCATACTCTAACCTTGGTAATAGTAACCAAATAGTATGCTTGTTGAAATGTCAGTGTTTGTAATTTAAAAATAATAATATTAATAATCTTGCACGCATTTTTGTTTTATATTCTTTTTACACCCCAAAATAAAAGTTTTCATATAAGATTCACACACACACACAAAATAAAAATAAAAATATTTAGACCAAGTTAAGTATAATATAGGGCCCGTATAGAAAAAAAAAAATTATGGGTATTTCTTTCTCTTTTTGATAATATGAAGTTGCATAAACTCTGCTGTTATGTGTAATTCACGGAAGAAACTAGAAGAAGCTAAAAGTATTCAAACCCAAATATCGCTGACATCATTCTTTTTTTCTTCTTTTTTTTTGGGTAAGCCGCTGACATCATTCTTAACTCACCCTTAGGATATAACAAAAAAAAAAAAAAAAACTACACAAATAATAAATGGAGCTTACCTAATGCTTGTAGCAGATGTAATAACATAGGCCGTGGTAGCCCCATATAAACTCGCATGCACAAGCACTCCACACATCTTTTGCTTTAGCTCTCCTAATTGATCATAATAATTCTTAAATCATTTATTCGGAGTATAAAGACAACATTTCAGATAAATAATTGAGGGGTAAAAAGTAATAAAAAGAAATTAATATTTTTAGAAGAGAAAGATTATATGTATAAACTTTTTATTTACAAAAACTATATTGTGTCTTACCGGCAAGAGATAATATAGTTTGTAAAAAAAATAAAATAAAATAATCAATATAACTCTCCTCTATTTATAATTATTTAAAAAAAAAACATAAACTCAAAATGGAAATAGACAAGAAAGCAAGCAGTGGCAGAGTGTTTCCCCAACCTAGGTACACCTTGACAGCATCCATGTAGGAGGAACTCCTAATGCTCCCATATTCAGGATGAGGGAATCTATAGCAATCACAGAGAAGGAACGTGGAAATAATTGTTGTGCCTGCAAAGAATATAATGACCACTGGACCAGCAATCCACCCTAACTGTGCCACAGACCATGCTAGAGACAGCACACCAGCCCCTATCACACCTGTTATTATGTGTGACACTGCGCTCCATGCATTACCTTCATGTCAAACCCATATTCATTTCAATTTTAGTTATCCTTTGAATGGTAAGCATGATAAATAACACACAATTCTATTAACTATCATCTAATATTTTCCATCAAATAATGTTAAGAGTAAATATCATTTTTGATTCTCAGCAAATTTTACGATGTCCGCTTTAGTCCCTAGCAAATAAAAAAGCTATTCATGTAGTCCCTCAAAAGCGGGCATCGTAAAATTTCTTAAGAACCACGAATAGCCTTTTTATTTGCTAGGGACTAAAGCGAGCATCGTAAAATTTGTTGATGACTGAAAATAGTATTTACTCTAATTTTAATTACTTAAAAACAAAAATCTGAATTTCCACTTTTAAATTTCTTAACAAATCCTTTTTTTCAATAAAAAACAGAGCTACTATACTAACTGTCATTCACACACCAACCAGTCAAACAAATACTTCAATTTTTGTATCAAACACAGATTGCTATTCAATACTATCTGGTTGCAGAGGTTGTGCATGAAATGTAAAGGTAAAAGAACTTATTAGGAGGAAGAAGAAGAGTGTTTCTTCTACATACAACAAAAGCACTTTTTGTTATAAATGATTAATTGTTCGAAGATTAATGAAAAAGTTTCTTCTCATAAATAAAAGTCTAGGCTATGAAAAATACAAAGAGTAGTGACAGTAGTTACCGGTTCTCCTTAAAGTCTCTTCGCCGGAAGAAAAGCTTTGAATCAAGGGCGAGGTGTCTATTGCTTCTTCACCCATTTTTAAAGTACTTTCTTCGATGGTTGATTTGCTTCTCAATAATCACCAGCCACAAGTAACGAAAATAAAGGCGTGTACGAATGAAAATGTACAACAATACAAATAATGTTTGGGCATTTCAAACACAACGTATTTATAGCCGCATGCCCTGTCCTCGAGTCCTAAGTAAATTTTAAGATGCAATACAAGAGACACATAAACAATAGTTCTGGTCTTCGGAATCGATCAAAGATACCGAATCATGAATCTTTTTTATTTTAAATATATATACGGATTTGTTCTAGTGACCAAAAATAATATATATTTATTCTGTTATGGAATGAGGAAACCGCTTTCATACGCCATAAACCATAAGGCAAGTGCATCGCCATGTTTTTCTATTCCTCGATTAGTTTAATACACGCGCTATCCACATAACAAAACAAAATATCATTTTAATTATAGGTACTGTTGTATATTTGGTGATTGGTATATATTAAATTTTTTTAATAAAAAGTAAATAATTTTATTCTTATTTGTTAATATACAAAATATATATTTTTTAGATCGAGTGCTTATTTAGAGTTTACCTCGATTTGATACTGCTCTCGCAGCCCGCACCGTAACCGTGCTTTACCGTTAGATGTCCCGTATTGCTATGCGAGCCACTAAAACAAGCACATCTCTTTCTACTTATTCCTATTAGCCATGCGGCATGCTTTGATCAACAATCCTCTCAACAACTGTCTTATGCAAAGTGTTATTTCTGGGAGTCGAACCTATGATCTCGGCTTTGATACCAAGTATTGGATCCAATGCTTACCACTAGCCAAAAGCTATTGAGTACAACTCTTTCTATTTGCCCTTTCCAACCCCAGCACCATAATTCGATCCGACTCTAACCTACATTGGAATATTTGCCAAGGCAAGATGTTGATCTCTTTAACAATGTTAAGTAATTAGAAATTTTAAAAATGAGAACAATTAACTTATTATTTTTTTAAAGAAATAAGACTTATTACATCATTTACATAAAATCAAAACATTATAATTCAAATTTAAATTTGAATTCAGTTTGCATTTAAAAAGTTTAAATTTAAAAAAATATTAGTTAATTAATGACATAACATTTTTAAAAAAGAATGAATTAAGAAAATTATGTATAATTCATATGTAATTTTAATTTTACTTGCATGTATTATATTTTATACAATGATATATAAATGATAAAACCGGGAAAGGCTTGGGCAGTAATTTATTGAATTTTATGCATCACAACGAGGAAATTGCATATATAAATTAAGGATGGTTATATTTATAAATTCTTACAAAGTACATTATACATTATGGATAATATATATTACTACATGCTTAAATAATATATATTACCTATAATACATAATGTAATTATAAGAATTTATAAATTTTAAATTTGCAAATATAACCGCTCTATATAAATTACATATGAAAGTTTAACATTACAAAAAGGATTTAGAATTTAGGGAATATTACTCTCATGTTATATGAGAGTAGTTCTCTCCTGCTATAGAAAGAATTCAAATAGGATCCACCATTAAAAAAGAAAAAAAATACGATTTTCAAAATGAGAAAAAATGATATAATTATTTCGTGTAAAATAAAAATAATATTTCTCTTAGAATTTTTATATGTATAACATATTAACATCAACCATCGACTCAAGAAGACGGTTGAAGTTAACCAAAAACGAAACGTTAGTGACTTTTCTTTTCTCGATTCCAACACGCAATAACTTGATATTCGGGTTGTCTTACGTAGGCGGTTTATTAAGCGGTCTGTAAAAGAGTTTATAAAGTCAAATTTGAGCCAAAAAATAAAGAAAAATAATAATCTCATATTATATAAGAGAATTATCTTATGTCATATATTTATAGAATTTTATATCAATTATTTCTTTTTCTTTTTTTTTATTTTTACATTGTAGATCTTATGTATTTGTATCACTCACATGAAAATATTATCTCATATAATACGTGATTAATAAACCCCAAAAATAAATAATACATGGCATCTCAAAGGAAATTTGGAGGCAGGTTTCCATGGCACCGATTTCTCGTTAGAGGTACAATATATAAAAATTATTAATATATTTCCATCTAACAGTTTAAATTTTTAAATTAAATTAATTTTTATATAATATGAAGAATTTATTCTAAATATGTAGATTGATTAGTAATGAATTATTCCAGTTTAATGAATAATTTCAAGTTTGTCGCAATGCGATTGTGTTAAAACTTGACCCGATGAATAATATCCAGAAAATAAATGATATTAAGTTTCTTTGACTAAATAATTATGATACTCCTGGTTTTATAAAGTTTACCAAAAAAAAAAGGATACTCTTTATCGCCCTATTTTTTAATAAAAATAAAAGGTAAATTAAAAATTAACATAAGGTATTCAAGTCCACGAACTCTTTCTTGAGAGAATGTGTTAGCAATATAATGTATAAAAATTATTAGTTAATGTGTATTCAAAAAAAAAAAATATTAGTTAATGTGCCCAAAATGTTTATATACTTTTGGTAGTTTTATAATCATTTGTTTAATTAATTTAATAATATTCAATATAACAATATGGGTAATTACACGGTACCTTAGCATAATGATATACCCAGTGGCCCAGTGGTCATGTGCAATAAGTCTTTTATCATGTAATGGAAAAGAAACACTATTTGGAAACTCTAATTTAAATTTAGTAACCATCCTCTAATTTGAATATTAAGTGTGTACATTGTCATTAACTAACCAACATTCAACAAGTCAAAATAATAATAATCAATATTCAAAATATGAGATGAAAGCATGTTATTGAGCCATTAACCACAAGTTTCAAAATAATAATCAATATTCAAAACAATGCTTTCTTCAACTTTGAGATTTCCCTTTCAAACAACTCCATTTGTCAATCTGAGCTATTATAGAACAACAACCTTATTCTATTGCCCGAATAGATGTTATCGTCATGGCTCATCTTGACATTCAACTTGGGAAAATTTATATGCCTTAAGCAACCATACACGTCAGCCATTCTACATTTACATTGAGAAGATTCATATATCGGAAATAGGGGTGCTAAACGAGTAGGGTCTTTCAGGAGTCTTTGGCTTGACTCGTGAAGGTCTGAGTTTATATGTCTAAAATTGGTTGTTGGCACCAGACTTGAACTTGTATAAAAGCTCGTTTAATAAAAAGGCATCAGACTCCAATTCAAAAGTTCGGCCTTAGAGCCTCTCAGGCTGACCTAGTATATTATTTTTTTATATATTTTTTATACTACTTGTAATAGCCTCTCTTTCTCCTCAATCCATTTTATCTCATTTTATTAGTTAAACAGACTTTTTGAATGATTTTGTTTTATATTATGTTGTTTGGTATACATTGAATTTATGATATTTATGAAATTACTAGTGTCGTTAATTGTATATTTTGTTTGGATAATTTTTTATTATTTTATTTTTTTTAACAGGCTAAATTAGATTTTTATTTTTTGTAAATAAGTCAGGCCACATGCCAATATAATATTTATAACAGGTAACAGACTTGGTCACATTTAAACACAGACTTAGCCTTTTAAGATTAAAGCTCAGCTCGGCTCGGCCCATTAACACCTCTAATCGAAACCCATTGGGAGCCAGGTCTCTTGTGATTAAAGGAAAAAGGTTAAAGACTTCTTTATTTCGAATCCAAATTGAACCAAATTCATGTACATATTTATATGTTTTACAAATGTGTGTAATAAGTAAAAAAAGTATAGCATCTGTGTGAATTAAGTATATAAATAAATGTTATCAAAAAAAAAAAGTATATAAATAAATATATGAATAAAATTATATAAAAATTAAAACACATCTATTTTATGATGAAAGTAATTAAAGTCAACACATTAAAGAAATACAATAAATAAATACTAGGGAAACTTCAAAAATCTCCTTGAAAGTTTCGTCAGAATCACTTACCTCCTCTCCGAAATTTTTAATCATTGACACCCCTATTTAAATTTTTTTTATCACTTACCCCCCTAACTTGATTTTTCATTCAAAATTAAAGTTAACAGAGTTAACTTTTTTAAAAAATACCAAGACTATCCTTAAAAGAAAAAAAAATTAACCCTTGGATAAGAAAAAAAGCACATTCTTGCATGGCTCTATAAATAAGCAAATGAATATATGGATCATCTTTTTGGAATAGCAAACAAGAAAGGAAATTGAAATATTTAATCAATGAAGTATTTAATCTTAAGATTCCTCCTATATGCACTAAACACCAAATAATGGGGCCATGTAAATTGAAATCTTGCAATTCTGTTTATTTTTCTGCAATGAAAGTGAATATTTTCTCTGCCTGAAGACGAGAAACACACAATTTGCAAAGGGCTCCAAAGCTTCTTGTGATCGGCATCTCAACCATGCGGTCAAGGTGGTCAGGCTCGCAGTGGCGCGGTTCCACTCATCAACGACTATCTCTTGCCAGCAGTAAGGTTCAGTTAATGCAGAGGTTAATTCCTTTTTTTTAAGGATAGTTTTGGTATCTTTTTTAAAAATAAACTCTGTTAACCTTAATTTTAGATGGAAAATCAAGTTAGGAGAGTAAGTGATAAAAAAAATTTAAGTAGAGGTGTAAATGATTAAAAATTTCGAGGAGGGGGTAAGTGATTCTGACAAAACTTTCAGGAAATTTTTTGAAGTTTTCCCTAAATACTACTATGAAAGATATTTTGACTCCGATTTAAGGCTTTGGAATCTTATTCCTCATCTCACACATCAATTTCTGTCCGTCCATGGATGGTTATTTATTTGAATAAAATTAATAATTAATTAATTGATAAATGAATAAAAATCAATGGTTAAGATAAGAAGTAACATTGGAATAAAAAATCCCTTCTCATACACATATATTCCAATATATGCTACACTGTAAAAGTATATTTTACGGAAAAATAATAATTAATTTAAGATATTTGAATATAAAAGTAATCACCTATTATACAAAGGGAAAAATTACTCTTATGTTACATGTGGTAACTTTTTCTCCTACACATTTTTCGATAACTGTGCCACCTTTTTCTTTTCTTTTCTTTTTATTTTTCAGGTGGTGGAGCCCACAAATTTATCTCTATAACATGAGATAACTTATCTCATTTAACATGAGATAACTTATCTCATTTAACATGAGATTAATAAAACCCTTATACAAATTGTATAGGCTTCGAAGTGAAGTGAATCTCATTTTCCCAATGAGAAACATAGGCTCGAATCTTTTTTAAGAATTTTTGAATTTATTTTAATCACAATTATATCTGAGGCTTTGTAAATAACAATCACCTCCGGCCTCCGGGCTCCAGCTTATATTGTTTTTTAATTGAATATCAATTAATTTTGAACCAGTCAAACAGACATTGATTCACCGAATTTCACCTCCACTTTATTACTTTTTTGCGGTGTTCATAAAATCGGACCGATTCGATCGGATTAATTCAGGAATCGAGAAATCAATCATATAACTAGTTCGGTTGAAGTAACGGATCGGTCATGCATCAGAATTGGTGCGACCCGGTCCGATTCGGCCGATTTTTATGAAAATTGGTGACCCAGTCAGTTAACCAGTGACCCGGTCCGGTTCCCAAAAAAAAATTCCAAATTTTTTAAAAAAAAAATTTATAATGTATATATTTAAATATTTGTTTGCTTATTGACTTACATAAATTATGTACCTACATCACTAATATTATCTCAATTATGCACTATGCAGAAAATTTTGATTTGATTTATAGTTAAAGATATCATTTTCTGAACCTAAAGTCTCGTATCACGATCTTTATATTTTTGTTTGATCCTTTATTATATAATAATATGTGATTTATTATTTTTTATATTAAAATATTTGAATTTTTTGTACTTTTTTTTAGATATTTGAGAATGTTTATAGTTTTTTAAAATAAATTATAAAATTAGATATAATCACCAGGTCATGCGGTTGAATCAATGATCCACTAGTTGAACCAGTAATCCAGTGACCCAGTACCTCGACCGGATCAATGACTGAACCGATTTTAATAATGTTCCTTTTTTGGGTTCAAAATGGAACCCACTGATTGTCAGGATCTGTTGTCGTATTAAACAATGGGATTTGATTTTCTCATGTTGAATGAGAATTCAATTCTCATGTTCTAGAGATAAAAAGTATGTGGGACCCATGTGTTAGAAAAAATTATATGTAGGACTCATGTCAGCACGAAAATCGAAGGGTGTGTAGGAAAATTTGAATTCTCATGTTGAATGAGAATTATAAAACTCTTAAACAATTTAGGCAAATGAATTCGTAGAAACTGTTTGATTAAACATATATTTTAATTTTTAAAATAGATTGACCCACGAAACCCGGATTAATATTTTCAACCCATTTTAAGAGGGGGACCAACCCGCCCAGTTTTTGTGGGGTTTACGGCGGATCGGGACACCTTTTCTTTTCTCATGTCATTAGGGGATGTTTAAATTTGCGGGAATATGGGGGAAATTATAGATAAGTTATAAAAAGATATTTGATAAATCCAAAAAATTTCCGAGCATTGTTTTAAGTTTTCTCGTGCCAACCGTTAGAAACAAATTTGCCCCACTCCACTTTTCCATGATTTCTAAAAAAGTCCCCTGCCAAACAGGCCTCAAGTTTCATTTAGGGTGTATTTGGTACAAGAGAAATTTTTTGGTGACCGAGAATCATGATTAATGAGAATTCAGTAAAAATTGAGTTTACTTGGAATCTTACGAAAGAGGTGTTTGGTTCGCTAAAATATTACCGGGAATATTGAGTAAAAATTACTGATTCCATATTTGGTTTAGAACGAAATATGACTTGGAATATGAGGTTATTTTACAAAAATAACCCCAAACTATTTTTACTTTTGTAATTGATAGATTGGGTCTAGATTTTTATGTGTATTGGGGTATTTTTGTCTCAAAATTTATTGTTGTGTTTTTCCTTTACTTGGTATTCCGAATTACCATATTATTTTTGGTAATCTGAATAGTGACTTTTCAGAAGTAAATCAAATTACCGGTAATCCTTGAATAACCAAACGTGGTAATTACATTTACCAAAGAAGAATTACCGGTAATCTCCTCAAAAACTTGAAACAAACACCCCCTTAGTGTCGTAGTGTGTACCCAGGAATTTCTCCAACTCTTTAGGAACGGTTGTACTTTCTCATCTCCAATGAATGAAATCATCTATTCAGATGATTGGATTTCCCTCACTCGCAACTCTCCATATTGTAGCATATATATCAATGAAGACTGAAGCTTGTACCCCAATAGCACAACCAGAAAAGGCAGAAATATGAACTAGAACAAAGCAAAAGGCTGCCTTCGACTAAACCCATACAAAAAGACCTCTTCAGACAAAATCATAATATAATGCATCAAACATTATTACTTCATTTGCCCTGCTTTGATTTGTAACCTTAACAAAAACTCCAAGAAATTAAGGGAAAAAGAAGAAGAAGTGGAGACTCTCTTGTGCTTGAGATGACACCATCACCATGCATCAGTTCAACCCTTAAGCTGTGGTTGTTGCAAAATACCCTCCCTTCGTTCCCTTCATTATGTGACCTGAGTCCCCCACGTTACTCAAAGCACCAAACCTCAATCGGGTTTCCCTTATAATCCATCCAAGCATTGAAAGACCAGTCAGTGCCATAGCAATAGCAACAGCAAAGCCAGACAGCGTTGCCACCAACAGAAAGGCGGCACTCAGAAGCAAGGGACTGAAGAGCACCAAAAGGGGAAAGCAAACTAGAAGAAGTGTTGTGGAGGCTAAAAAAGTGAACCCCATCATCCCCAGCAGAGGTCCTCCTATGGCTATAGCCGCCAAAGATGCAGAGACCACCGTCGTGCGGGATACTTGGCGTGACTGACGACCAAGTGGACCCTTCTCATAGTAATCTGCCATTGGTTTGTGCCTGTGTGTAACTATGTGTGTATACTGGTTTGCTTCTTTTAGTAAGGGCTAGGCACTTTATAATTTGGGTATTTGGAGTCTCGGCTAGAAAATGCTTCATAATTCTGAAAGGTGTCAATTTTAGATCTAGGGTGGCAACCCCTTGTGCCTACACGTACGAATAGCATTTTAGGAGATAATGACTCGGTGACACGAGACACACGTTTTTTGAAAAATTGTGTGTGGTTAGGTGAGGTGAAGGTTGAATGCACATTCATAAGGCTCCTCCAGCCTTGTGATAACGTTTAGCTATCCATTAGAGACTTGTCCCCATCACATACAGAAATAGGCATCAACATTATGAAGAAAAAGAAAGAAGGGTGGTTTTGAAACATATTATCACCGACCGAGGTTTTTAGAGCAAGGACATTTGTACCAAAGTAAATTTGGGAACAATGATGTGTATTAAGTGAAGGAAAAGTCATTATCAAAGATTGAAGGCCATGTATTCTTCCACTTTAAGTTGTATCAGTTAACATAATGATTCTCTGTACTTATTTTCAGCATACATTACAGAAATGGTAGATGATATAATTAACAGATCAGTTGCATTATCATGAATTTTCAGGCTTCAAATGTACAAACCAAATAAAGAAGATTCCAACAATGGAACATTGGACAAGGAGCTCAATGCCAAACTTAGGATAAAAAAATAATAGTCCCAACTCTTGTTGCAATATAATACCGGGAAACAATTAGTTTGCTTTGACAACCTGAGGCAGAGATTTGAGAAGGGACGAGGATGGCTTTCGAACGATGTGATTAAGCATTATCATAAAAGTCAGAAGTGTTAAGGCTCCAGCCTGATGTGCAGTGCCCAGTGAAACAGGTACATATGAAAGAAGCGTCGAAATTCCTAAGGTGACCTGTAACCATACAAATCAGTTACATAATATACCAAATGACAACTGCTGACAAAAACAAACACCAAAAGGTTTTCCTTGTTATTTATTTCATTACTTATTATCATCACTGTTGTAAATATTTGTTATTTTATTATTATTAGTATTTGTTGTATTGGGCCAAGCCCATTAGGTCAAGTATTAGAGTTTTCATTCTCTATAAATAGAGACCTCTTTGTACAGATTATACACACAATTTAATAATATTTCAAATACCCTTTTCTTTCAAGTTGGTATCAGAGCTCTCGATCCTGAGGGCTCTGCTTCCGCGTCTACGAATCTTTTTATTCTTTTTCTGTCTCTCACTGTTCCTTATTCCTCGTCACTTTTCCACTGTTCCTATTCCTTTCTTTCTTGTCTCTCGTAAAGCAAAGAACGCACAGAACCATTCCTACCAAAGGACGTCACGTAAAGAACGCACTGAACCACTGCTCATCGTGTTTTGGGTACTTTTCCGGTGGATTCTTCAACGCGACCAACCACAGGTAGAACCGCCATCGCCGGACGACGTCGCCCCAAAAGTCTCAGCCCGGAAGACCACCGCACGCGCTCACACGCGCCTCATCTTCATTGGCGAGTGAAGCCCACGCGCATCCAGTCTCACCGGCGCGTGGAGGTGTTTCTTGGCCGCGGACCGGTGCAGTTCTGCTCGACTCTCCAAGCCCGTTCTGGATCTGTGCTCAAATCCTTGATCGGACGTCGTTTGGTATTTTTTCAGTATTTGTTTGGCTTCTTGGTGCTATTGTTTGACAAGTTTTGTGCAGTATGGCCTCTTCTCAAAGGAATTCCTTTACAAAGTTTTCTGATGGTACATCTTCTGGATCTAAGAGAGATGATCGATGGTGTTCTTATTGTAAAAGAACAGGTCATATCAAGGATCTATGATTTCGCCTCCATGGAAAGCAAACTGTCTTAGAAAAGATGGCTAGGATGCGTGGTCAACCGCATTTTACTTCCTTTAAAATAACTTCTGCATTTCGTCCAGATGAGTTGGAACGGCTCCGAACCCTCCTTGATTCTTTGAGTAAGCCATCTGATACTAGTACTTTGACTATGACTGGTATGAGCTCCAAAACTTATTCTTTCATTTCTTCATGTAATGATTTTAAAAATTCTTGGGTTGTTGATTCTGGTGCTACTGATCATATGGCTTGTTGTGCTGACTCCTTTACTTCTTATCATCCTACCATTGGAACTCATACAATAGCCGTAGCTGATGGCTCTCATACATCAGTTGCGGGTTCTGGTGACATAAACTTACAGCAGTCCTTACATCTTAAGGATGTTCTTCATGTTCCTAAACTCTCCACGAATCTTCTTTCTATTCATAAAATTACAAAAGATTTGAATTGTACTGTAACCTTCTATCCTACCCATTGTGTTTTTCAGGATCTCGACACGGGGAAGACGATTGGTAGTGCTAAAGAGCAAGGTGGGTTGTACTATCTGGTGTCACAATCTCCTGAAAATAAAGTAATAGATCACATCTTGATGTCTCATGGTCAATCAACTGCTGATTCTTTGATTTGGCTTCATCATAAGCGCTTAGGTCATCCTCCATTTAGTTTACTCAAATCTTTATTTCCGTCATTGTTTTTATCTAAGTCTGTTGAGTCTTTTCATTGTGATGTTTGTGAATTTGCTAAGCATCATCGTGTGTCTTTCCCTTCTAGTATTACTAAAAGTGTTGAACCTTTTGATCTTATTCATTCTGATGTTTGGGGTCCTTCTAAGGTCCTTCATTCTTCTGAAAATAAATGGTTTGTTTCTTTTATTGATGATTGCACTCGTGTAACTTGGGTTTACTTAATGAGTGAAAAGTCTGAGGTACCACAACTGTTCTTTCAATTTTATAAAATGATTGAGACTCAATTTTGTAAAAAAATCAAAAGACTAAGGACAGATAATGGTACTGAATATGTCAATCACTCTTTTTCCCAATTTACACAAAATCAAGGTATGATTCATGAACTTACTTGTGTAGACACCCCTCAACAAAATGGGGTTGCTGAAAGGAAAAATCGTCACCTTCTTGAAGTTGCTCGTGCCTTACTGTTTCAAACACATGTACCCAAATGCTATTGGGGAGATGTCATTCTTACTGCAGCATTCTTGATCAATCGTCTACCCACTCGGGTTCTCGATCATGTAAGTCCTATTCACTCCATGACTTCTTTTTTCCCTTCTGTTCCAACTTTGCAAAGTCTTCCTCCTCGAGTGTTTGGGTGTGTTGTCTTTGTTCATATTCATAAACAGCATCGCAGTAAGTTGGATCCTAGGGCTCTTAAATGTGTCTTCCTTGGATATGCTCCTGATAAGAAGGGCTACAAGTGCTATCACCCTGGAAGTCGGAAATTTTTTGTTTCTATGGATGTTACATTTCAGGAATCTGAGTCCTTTTTCCAAGGTCCTCATCTTCAGGGGGAGAATAATTCACCAGAAGAATCATCACCTTCCTTCTTTGAATTGGAATCTTCAGTGTCTACTCCTTCACCTGTGTCAGTGTATCCTCCTCTTGGTCCTGTTCCTCCTGTGTCTGTTCCTCCTGTGTCTAATCCTCCTGTGACTGATTCTCCTGTGATTGATACATCAAGTACACCAGAGATACGGAAGATTATGACACCTGAGTTGGTTGCCTCAGCAGCAACCTCAATCGTCTGAACCACTGGTAAGTCCTGAATCTCATATTTCTGATCATGATGTTAATACTTCTGATGACTTACCCATTACTACTGATTCTGATGATTTACCCATTGCTCTTAGAAAAAGAAAAAGAGCTTCTCCCAAGAAATCTTGTCCCTCCTGTCCCTCTTGTACTCAATACCCTATCTCCCATTTTGTTTCATCTGCTAATCTTTCTGTGCAGCACAAAAGCTTTGTTTCAGCACTAGACTCTATTGCAATCCCAAAATCAGTACATGAAGCCTTGAAAGATGGGAATTGGGCTCAAGTCATGCAAGAGGAAATGAATGCGTTGGAGAAAAATAAAACATGGGAGGTTATTGATAGACCTAATGGAAAGAAAGCAGTAGGGTGCAGATGGGTTTATGCCCTGAAATATAATTCTGATGGAACTCTTGAGTGATACAAGGCTCGATTAGTTGCCAAAGGTTACACTCAAACCTATGGCATTGATTATGAAGAAACATTTGCTCCAGTTGCAAAGATGAATACGGTGAGAGTCTTGTTATCCCTTGCTGCCCATTACAATTGGGATATAAATCAATTTGATGTGAAAAATGCTTTCCTCAATGGTGAGTTAGAAGAAGAAGTCTACATGGAAATCCCGCCTGGTTTTGATTCTGTGAAGGGAGAAAATAAAGTTTGTAGATTAAAAAAGGCCTTGTATGGATTGAAGCAGTCACCTCGTGCCTGGTTTGGAAGGTTTACTAAGGTTATGATGACCTTAGGATACAGACAGAGTCAAGGAGATCACACTCTTTTCTTCAAGCACTCCCATAATGGGAAGCTTACTGTGCTCCTTGTATATGTTGATGATATTATTATCACAGGTGATGATTTTATGGAGAAACAGATTCTGCAAACACGGCTTGCCTCTGAGTTTGAAGTCAAAGACCTTGGGAAACTGAGATATTTCCTAGGGATAGAAGTAGCTCATTCAAGGAAAGGAATTTTTATTAGCCAGAGAAAATATGTTCTTGATCTTCTCAAAGAAGCAGGAAAGCTCGGGTGTAAACCCTCTAATACTCCTATTGAGCAGAATCACAAGATAGGCTATGAAGAAGAGAGTCCTCCAGTTGATAAAGGACAATATCAACGGCTAGTTGGGAAATTGATATATCTGGCTCATACTAGACCAGACCTAGCTTATGTTGTTAGTGTTGTCAGTCAGTTTATGCACGATCCAAAGGAGAAACACATGCAGGCAGTAGAGAGAATTCTGCAGTATCTTAAAGCTACTCCTGGTAAAGGATTGTTATTCCAACGTGATGGCAATCTCTCTTTAGAAGTTTACATTGATGCTGATTATGCTGGATCCGTGACTGACCGTCGTTCTACCACTGGTTATTGCATGTTTCTTTGCGGTAACTTGGTGACATGGAGAAGTAAGAAACAAGATGTGGTCGCCAGATCAAGTGCAGAAGCTGAATTTCGAGCTATGGCTCAAGGCATTTGTGAGTTACTGTGGCTGAAAATTATACTTGATGATCTCAAAATAAAATGTGAGGGACCTATGAAGCTGCTATGTGACAATAAGTCCGCTATTTGTATAGCTCATAATCCGGTTCAACATGATCGGACTAAACATATTGAGGTCGACCGCCATTTCATCAAAGAGAAACTTGATAGCGGGTTGATTACCACTCCATACATTCCCACTGGGCGCCAATTAGCTGATCTATTGACAAAGGGACTTCCTTCAGACAGATTTCAAGAACTTACTAGCAAGCTGGGAATGATAAATATCTATTCCTCAGCTTGAGGGGGAGTGTTGTAAATATTTGTTATTTTATTATTATTAGTATTTGTTGTATTGGGCCAAGCCCATTAGGTCAAGTATTAGGGTTTTCATTCTCTATAAATAGAGACCTCTTTGTACAGATTATACACACAATTCAATAATATTTCAAATACCCTTTTTCTTTCAAGTATCACCATCCTCCTCAACTAGTTCATGAATCAGTGAAAAGCAGACAGAGCAACAGGTAGAAATGTAGCCAGAAACAACACCGAAGCAGAACTCCAACAATACAAAATGATAGAGAATTATTAAAATAAAACTGGAAATTTAAATAATGACCTGAAGAGAAGCCATGCCAACAATGCTTCCAAGCACAGATCGTACTGCAGGATGTAAGTCCAGCTTTCTTGTTGACCACCATAAAGCGCCCACTGAAAACAGAGTTGCAGTTGCAAGGATACGGTGATCAAGCTGTTAAAAGCAAAACACTAATTAGAACTTCATGTTGATAAATTTCCATGTGCCACTAAAGGAACTGGACTGCAGTGACTTTATACCTTTGTAGTATTGGTGTCCAACAAAATAAAGACTCAAGGCTTAATTTCTTTGAAGAAATAAAGAAAAGGATAAGTGTAGCTGACATTTGAAACTTAAACTTTTGCAGCCAAATTTCTCAACAATTTTAAGTTTTCAGTGATATCAGCATGGATAATTACCTGTACAGTCGATGTATTCTCGAAGAAATTTCGAATCAGAGGCTTCATTACAAAAATGTCTTCAGGTATCCATGTATCACCCATCTTTGGAAAAGTATTGAATGCATGCCCCTGTCAATCAACATATAAGGCTCAAATATTATTTCAAGTACAAATATGAAAGGCATGAAACTATTGAACAAGCTACCATACAGCATCATTTCCTGCAACAAATGCACCAGAAACAGCAGTAAGACCAACAAGTAGGCTGATAGGCATTGCAAGTCTCTTCACTTTAGCTGCCCCACGAACCCACGTTAGTGATTCAGCTGGTGGTTCAGGCATAACAACAGAAAGTGCAGTCCAAAAGAGGCCGCAGTAAATAGCAAATGCTGATGTAAGGTGAGTGGCAAGACGATAAGGGCTTACCCTTGGCTGAGAATATTCAGATGGTGGTTCCTAAGGAAGTGAAGTGTTATTAGAATCTGGCAGTGATGACCAATTTGACTTCAAATAAATAGAGGAATTTATTTTATTTATGTTCCAACCTCTAAACCACTCTTAACCATCCACCACCCAATAAGACCCTGTCCAGCACCCATGGCAAACAGAGCAGAGAGTCTCAGTCCCAATCTCACGGTAATATAACCCTTACGGAGAAAATATGAATAAGGCAAAACAAATATAAGTCCCAGCGCCCTTCCCCACATACGATGTGCGTACTCCATCCAATATATGAACTTGAAATCTTCAATCTTCATCCCTTTGTTGACACTGCACCAAATGTGAAATTGAAACAAATTATCATCATAACATTCACAAGAACTGCTACAGCTCTATCAGACCAAGTGTCAACTCACTTCCACGTGGTCAATCCTATTATTTTTGTAATGCATACATAATCAACACTAAAAATTGAAATTTGTAATTAGCACTTGAAAAGTTAAACAAGCTGGTCCATTGGAACAGTTCCAGAAGGATAATTTCAGATTTTGATTCATTCAGTAAATTATTCTATTATCATCTCTATACCCTTAAACACACAATCATGTCAATTTTTCAAGCAGTAATTAAGTTTTAAAAAAATCTAGATATTTTTTATGAGAAAGTTTGAGCATAGTTGTCTAAAATTGTACTTTTTTAATTTTTAATCATCAAACTTTTATGATTTCATTTGGTCCCTTAATACTTAGCCCGCCATCTTCAAGAGGACATGTTCACAAGTGTTTAGAAGAGTTTCTTCCCCCATACATTTCATAAATTCAGTTCTAATAAGACAGGACAAAAAATCAGTAGAATACTTCCTAGATACTTCATAAAAAAAATTAAAGGAGCACAAGAAAAAAATTTACTACAGCTATATGCTCACCGCTTGTATTCAGGTGACTGCTTATATTTCTCAAACTCTTGCAACCATTCCTCATCAGACAAAGGAGGGAGACTTCCCGTGAATTTCCAATCAGTCATTGAAAGACCAGATCGTGTGAGTCTAGTTACACCCCCAAGTACCACCATAGTAAACACCCATGCAGCAGAGCCAAAGAGCCATATTCCAACCACTTTCCGAGCATGAGAACCACCAATCACAAGCAGCTTCAACCCCTCCTTATGTTCAGCCCTAACAGACGCTATCCTAGAAAAGTTCCTGATGCATCCCACATGATGACCCTAAAAGCATCATCACAATTTCCTCAGAACCAACTACACGTACAAAACAATCAAACACAGCATTGGTGATTCAAAATGAAAAATAGTAGCTATTTTTTCCAGGATGTGAACATAAAAAGTAAAGAAATAGACGGCACCATACAAGAATGTGATATATGATCAAAGTTTATTTATTTATTTTTTTTATAATGGAAAGCACAATAATTGGGAAGCTAAAGAACAAAGAATTTAAGGGATCAGAAAGGAAAAAAAATTAAAATTTCAAAAGAACCCAGATGAAAAAACATGGTGGGAATGATATAAAACGAAGGAAAAAGTTAGGTAACCTTGGGAATAAGATGGGATCGAAAAGCATGAAAGCAATGGCTGGCGATGGGAGGGGTTAAAAACTTGAATGGTTGTTGGCTGGAAGAAGGAGGAGAGAAAGGCCTCGTCCCTCTTAGCTTGCGAATCCCACATGCTTCTTTGCTGCGCCTCAAAATTGACCTCCCAAACATCTCTCCCTACCCTGCAACTTTGAGGGTTTAACCAAGGTTTTGTAAGCACCCCCTATGGTCCGTTCCCTCCAGCGACGTGTCGTTTTGTACGCCCATCCTTGGAATATATAAACTCTAAAGTTGAACCCCAACACCAAAAATCCCCAAAAATAATAAGAACAACAATAAAAGAGGGTGGTTATTGCCTTCTTTTAACGGTCAGTTTTTTTTTTTTTGTGAGCTATGTGAATATATCTGGATTTTCACACACAGGGAAAAAGTATTGCAATGTTGTTTGTTTTGAAACACTATAAGCACTAGAATGGTATTTGCTCCTCAGCTTCAAAATATGTTACTCTGTTCATTATGTATTATAAGAGGAAGGTTATATTTATAATTTTTTTTTACAACCATATTTTAATATAGTTGAATTTTTGTGAATTAATAATTATTATTTTTTTAAATTAAATTTATTAATTAATTATTAATTCACAATAAATAATAAACATTGATTGACGAAAATCAACGAGGTTAAGATATGATTGTAAGAGGTTATAAAAAAAATTATAAATATAACCTTCATCGTATTATAATAAGAGCAGCCGTTTCAATTTAATATAATAAATTTATGGCTTTATTAATCTCATGCAACATGAGAGAAGCTCTCTCATATTATAGAGATAATCATGTGTGGGACCCACCTACTTATAAAAAAATATAAAAAGATAAAAAAAAAATAATACAGAAATCGATGTATGTGTAGGAGCGAAAAACACTCTTCTACAACATAAGAGTATATTTTTCCATAAATTTATCGCAGATTTTTCTAAGAATTTAAGCGAAATATTGGTGATTTTGGGTTAGATTTTGGAGAATTTATACCATTGAAAATAATTGATTTTAAAATCTATTTTTTAAGTATTTAGACATTTCAACTTACTGAATTTATTTACAAGTATAGGACCTACATACAGAATTAATTATAGCTGTGTCTCTTTAAACATAAAATCAACTATAGCTATGTAGGAATCTATTCATACCTCTTTTTTAAAGATCCGCTGATAAAGCAACTTGATTAAAATGATTTTAGTTAATCCTCACGTATAACATCAACTTCCAAGCACACATATGATATGCTTCAAATAATGTTATCCAGTGCTTGAGATTTCATGAAAGATATTCTAAAACCCTGCGAAGGCCTTTAAAATTAACTGTGTTGAAAGAAATCAATCCACCACCACCTCAGTGTTGTTGGCTTGGCTGGTTAATTTACTAGAAAAATTGTAAATTACTTGGCAAAAGGAAATTTGAGACCAGCAAATATATATTCATTTTTTTCCGTTAACTACCAAGAGCGACCAATTCATTTTGTATGGGGCACCACAAAAAGACTGCGTTTGCATTCTTTTCTGCAGCATTCTGCTTATTTATATTACAAGTAGATAAAAAAGCTATGTGAAATTCATTTATTTGCTCATGGTTATGCATTACAAGAAGAAGAAACTAAACATTTCCTACAACAGGTCTACATAGACTCATAAAAATGCCACGAACTTTAATGAACTAGAAGTTTAGAACCCCCTCATCCGGAGACTGTATCTGATTCAAAAATCAATAGAAATGCTCCATTGGTATAACTCTTTCTCTGGTACCCTCAAATCAATAGTCACCAATCCAGATTCTTCCTCATAATTGAATTCCACCTCTTCTGAATCAACTATTATCAACTTAGGCCGAGCTGATGAATAAGCACCAAATTTGCCACACCCGCGGACTTTCATGGCAACATTTGTACTTCCATTAGATCCACAATTGAACTCTTTGACAGCCCCTCCTGAATTGAACATGTTGATCAAACCAATTGGAGCAAATTTGACACCATTGGTCAATTCCTTCACAGGAACTATTGTAACAACTTCATATTCTCGAGATTTCAAGGTAATTGGGATAGATGCATCCTTTGGAAGGTAAACCACTTCTCCTGCAAATTGACATCATAAAAAAACCATTATACAAAAGAAAAATTGGGTCAACTTTTATAATCTTTAGAAGTGTAATGTCAAGCCTAAAAACATACCACCAACATGGGAAAATATAATGGTGTCTCCTGTCCATTTATCATCTACAACCCTGGATAAATAGTCAACATCTTTAGCCCTGATGACACCAGTGACTGTGCCTGGATTCTCATCATGGATAAGGTTCTTCTTTCCAACTTTGCACCACCCAGCTCCTTGGCAATTGAATATCCCAACAACTCCAGAAAAACCATTCATGTTCCAAATCTTCAGAAGACTGCAATTGTTGCGAAAAATACATAAAGATGATGAAGAAGCATACTCTATTCTGTAGTAGAAGCAAATATATCAACTGATCAAGTATATTCAGGTAGCTAAATCATTCTAGATTCTTTACCTCTTTCCATCTCTAGCAGGATCAGAAAATAAGCAATCCTTCGTTGGTCTTCCTGGAAGTTTAGCCCTTAATATAGAACCATCAGGAAGTGCAAGTCTCTTCAAAAGATTGAAGTCATGGTGTCCAGGCTTGTCACTACACAATATAACCAACATTCCAAGGTAAGATATCATTTATTTAATTCAGTTATGTCAAAATATGAAGAAAAAAAATCATCACCCCTCATCACCTGACATAAATAGGACATCCTCCTACTGCTCGTGCAGCACCATGATATTCAGCCATTGGATGTAGGCTCTACCATATCATGCATAAAAAATTAGCTCCTGAAGAAGCAAGTACATTTTCTTTTTTCAAGGAAAAAAACAGGGAAGGATAACGTATTTGTCAACTTACATGAAACATATCCCAATCTGGCTGCATAAATTCACCAAGGAAAATGGAGTTGTAAGCAACTGATGCAATGTGAATGGTGTGGGAGGCAGGGTCTCTTGGCCAGAAATCATCCGATGCCCTAATAACAGCTGATTGCTTTGAACTACACAAGTAAATTCATAAACATTATTAATAAATAAATCCAAAGGAATGTTACATAAAAGCATTCACTAGTTTTATAAAAAGTGCCTACCTGTACAATCCATCTGTATTGTGACTCATGCAACAAATGATTCCATTATCAGGGAAGTTCCTACAGATTGATGCCTCTAATGCCTGGTGGTATTTCCTTGCTAGTTTCACCCTCCCACCACGTCCTGCCCCGAGAGTTTCAAGGATATTCTGAACATCAACTTTGACACCATCAATACCAGCAGATGACAGATATGAGTGCAGTTCATCATAAAAGTGAAAAACTTTCTCAGGATTCACTAGGCCAAGCCCATTGATGGTAATGTGTGTTAAAGAGTCGTCTGGTTGAATTGATTGGACTCCAGGAGATGAAACAGGGAAGACCATCTTTGACTCATAGTGCTCCATGCCACTAACATCAGGTTTAACACCACCCCAATATCCTGTTATTGCATGCCACACATATATATACCTGTAAAGACCATGAGTTTGTGTGAACGTGTGAACTGAATATCTTGAAACTTTGAAAAAAACAGAAGAAATAAAATGAAAAATGAAAATAGCATACTTTACAGCATGCTCTTGCTTGATTTCATTGGTAATATGACCAAGTCCAAGATCTGGGTCCTCTACCCGCTGACCTTCCTTGCCATCTTTCTGGAATTTGTGATTCTCTTTTATATTCGTTAAGCGATTTCCAAAGCTGTTGGAGAAGAAAGCAAGAAAATTAATTCTACTTTTTCAATGTTGTAAAATGTACGGAACTACAATCTGGTTATGAATCTTAGAAACGAAGGACCCACTTGGCTTGATAGGCTTGATTATCAGATTTCCATTCAACATCATTGTGGTCCATGCCCACAGATTGCCATCCATCATCAATTATAACAAATCTAGCCGGAATTCCACCTTTCTCAAAGCTACAAAAAATAAAAAAATAGTTTCAAATTAAAGTCTATGTTATGCACAAATCTTATAACTTTGACCATTGTCTATGCAAAGAAGTAACACCTCTGTAATCCTTGCTTCACATCCTCTGAAGTGACTCTAGTATAGAAAGCATCCCATGTACACCATCCAAACCAGTTCAACATATCAGGCATCTGAATACAAATGGGTAAAAAAGAAAGGAAGAATTAGAACTAATTAACTTCTAAGATGGAGTACTCAGATATAAGACAGTACATTAAAATTCCATTTTAGGGAGGAAGAAGATATGTACCTTCTTTCTCTCGCGATGAGAAAATGTCTGCAATTGTTTCTCAACAGTCCTGAACAAAATTGGAAATCAAATCAAATCAATGACTTGAGTTATTAACACATTTACATGAAACAGAAACAGAAACAAAGAAAAGAAAATGGTGAGTGAAAAAGGTAAAGCGGATATGTAATTGGTGGACTATTGAAACTCACTTGACAGCATTTGTTATTACTTCATAAGGTTCCGATCCAGCCCCAACAAAAACCAGATGAGTCCCATCAAATTCATCCACACCAGGACAACCTGCAATCAGATACATATTTCATCACTCTCAACAACAGTAAAAATCGCCATATACTACATTAAAAAACACTAATGATTGTTTTTTCTTCTGAGAAGCACACACCGCTTTCCACACAGATCTCAATCTCGTTTTGATCATTCCCCTGAAGAACTGCTCTGAAATCTCCTTCCAGAAGGGGTAAGAAAACTACATAGTTAGCAGCAGCTTGGTCTTCTCCACTATTGATCCCTCCGTCAATATCAGAGCCATTGTGTGCTTCAACAAGCAAGAACTGCGTCTCAACGGGGACTTCTTTTCCACAAGTGCCCATTCTCTGGGTCATCCACCACATTGTGAAGCGATGAACACACATAAATCGCAACCCCCTAAAATTGAAAAGCCAAAAAATGATACTTTGATCAGAATGGAAACTTCCTTAAATATCAGCACTAGCACACATAATAAACATCAAAATCCTAAAAGGAAAACTGGAAACTTAAAACCGGACAATGTCAATTACATCAAGATAAAGTGATCAAGTACATACACTTGTTCAATATAACAAGCTATAACAAAAATGCAGCATTCACCCACAAAACACAAAGTGAAATGAACATCCAAAACCAGTTAGACCCCATTTTCATTCACACCAAGTTTGTATTTTTTTTTAATTTTTTCTTGAAGAAAAATAGAAATTTGTAGAGAGAAAATGAACTTACTCAAGCTTGCCGATGGGAAAGACTTTGTGGCTACCCTTCTGATAGGATTGAACCCCAAGGAATGCCCCGTAGAGCAAGGCACCCCCAGATGCAGGAATGACGAGGACATTGTCATGGACCTCACTCAGCACCTTGTTCCCCAGCACCATCAAGTTGTCATCTGCAACGGATATCCCTGCCCCCACAGTCATCTTTCTCCTCCTTTTGGTTCTGAAAGGCTAAAACAGTAGCAAAGGGAATCTCAGTATATCCCCACTTAGCACTGCTTTTTGTTCCAAATCCAAATGAGAAGAAGAGGACTTGAAAAACAGAAGCAGTGGGGAAGGGTATTTATAGCAAATGTTAGCAGAGGTCCCAAACCCAAAATCTTAGGAATTTATGGTATTGATGAATGATTTATGAAATGTCCATCCAAAGAATGATTATAGATTGTGTCACTGTCAAACCCCCAACAGAAAATATCATGATATATTTTGCAATCAAACCCTTCCGCTTCAAATTACCATTTGACACGTAATATATTATTATCTTGGGTGGCACCAACCTGACACACAGAGTTTATACATTGGATGCGGTCATGCCTATGTTCACTAGTTGTAGCTACTAGCTAAAGTGTTTAATGTCATTAACCATTTGACATATACTGTATTATTATTTTGGGTGGCACTAGCCTGGCAGTGGCACACACAGTTTGTGCTTTGTATGTGGTCTTGCCTATTTTAACTAGTGGATTGTTAACCATTTGGCATATACTATATCATTATTTTGGGTTGCACCAACTTGACACGAACGGTTTCTATTTGTACTTTGGATGTGGTCTTGCGCTAAAGCATTTTATATTGTTAAAAGGGAGGCTAATGACAGATATAGTAAAGAATTAATTTAATTCGAAAATTTAAGTTATTAAGCGAAAACTTTTTTAATAATTTTATATATTTTTAATATATTTTTTTATAGGAGAGTTCATTGAATTTGAAGGCTACAAAAATTAATTAATTATTAATTAAATAAGAGACGAGAAGAATTAAACTCATGATATCGAGATTATGAGATTATGTAAAAAAAATTAATTTAATTCAAAAATTTAAACTATTAAATAAAGATATTTTTAATAATTTTATATATCTCTAAATATAACGAGCGAATCATAATATGTCAAAAACTTGTAACGAAAAATTTATAATTTATTTAAAATATACACTATATTTTATGGATATTACACTACTTATTGAAGTTTCATTTTACCAAGACATTTCTTAATATTTGATTGGATGACATAAGTTTTCTGTCGTATTATTATTATTATTATTGGTGAGTTCTCTCTTATTATTAATTTGTTAGGATTATAGTTACTTATTTATATATCGATAGAATAATGCTATCTCTTTCATTTTTTTGTAATTGGTAATGCACTCTTATGTCATTTTATTATGAATAAAATAAAAAATCCTTTTTTTTTTTTTTTGAAAGATAAAAAAAAAAAAAAAAATCCTTTTTGACATGTTTGTAAACAAACCAACTTTTTTTGAAACAAGCGAAAAGTACATACAGCGAATTGTGGACCCCACCAACACTTGCCATCAAAAGGTAAGGTCCAAAGAAGGTGTAGATGGAAGGATGAAACGGCGGCGCCTCATCACTATCGGCTGTTAAAAATATCTGCGTATCGTCAATCGTGAAATGGAACTACGTGGCATTTCAAATATGGGGTCCATGTGATGGCAAGAAAATCTTTTATAGTCAGAAAATAATATTCAATAATTGAGTGGCAATGATGGACGATCCAATAAGGCGAAGCACACGTGACCAATTTGACGTGGCGTTGAATGTTTGATTAAGCAAAGAAAAAAACCAAAGGGATGGGTTTATTTTGTCATTACTTTGTTTATAAATTATTTAACAAAAACATTTATTATAATTTTCGAATCACTTTGTCGATACACGTTTTATACATAGTCGATATTAGTTCTGACATCACCGCTCATTATTCTTATTCCAAACTTGATATCCTTGACATAGATATCTTTTTAAGAACATATATATTTTTATTATAATTTTTTGAAATATTTCACCGATACACATTTATACCGCGAAGTAAAATTGGTACCTGCACTTTTCATCCAAAAAGCGACTTTAAGCATTATTCGACTTTCAAAATAATTATCTTATCATAATTATGCATAATCTTTATCAGATCCATGCTTCAGAATCGATAATATTATTTAATTAATTATTTAGCGGTGCGAAATCTTACATTGTCCATATTTTTCTTTTCTTTTATCTTCACATGAGTCCATATGGACTCCACACACATTTTTGTATATATTGTGGTAAACATTAGATAAAATTATCTAAAATAATTTTAGAAACTTTAAACTCATAAAATAAATAACCCACAATAACGTAACTTAAACTTGGTGAATTTGACGGTGAATCTTCCCAATGGGACCAGTTTGTACAGAAGGGCTGTGTTTGTTGCTGGTTCTGCTCCTTCTAAGTATGCAGAGGAGGTTTTGAGGGAGACAATTACTGGCATTTGCGGGAATTTTGTTCAACAATGTGTTGGGATAGTTGCAGACAGGTTCAAGGCCAAGGCTTTGAAAAATTTGGAGAATCAGAATCATTGGATGGTTAATCTTTCTTGTCAGTATCAAGGCTTCAATAGTTTAATCAAGGACTTCACCAAGGAACTTCCCTTGTTCAGGACTGTGACCGAGAATTGTCTCAAGCTCGCGAATTTTGTCAATTACAGGTCTCAGGTTCGGAATAGTTTTCACAAGTACCAACTGCAAGAGTACGGGCACGTTCGGAATAGTTTTTTTGCCTAAAATTAATAAGCACATTATATATATATATAATTATTAAAAGGAATATGTGATATTAAGGATGGTAATGGGGTGGAGCGGTTGAAATAAAATTATATATTTTTTTAAAAAAACTAAATTATAATTTCTGTTTTTTCAAAAACAAGAACTTTAAAAAAAAATTATTCTATCCTTTTTTTCCCTTAAATTTTGTGTTTTTAAAAAGTTATTCTCTAAACATATAAAATTACTCACGAGATTTCTCTTTTTAAAAATAAACTTATCTAAACACACACTTCATCAATAGAAAAGTAGAAATGCTGGTATCAGGCGTGTTTTTAGTCACCCCAATCCTTAATTATAATATAATATAAATAGGTTAAAAGAAATTCTAAATTGTTAATTCGAGTCCCAATTAGTGGTGACAAAGTGAGCGATCCTTCCCACCCAATCATCAATCTGGTAAAAAATAAGACAACCTACTTGGTTCCATTTTTAAAAGTGGGCTGTAAAATCAGTCTGCTCCACCCCATTTGATAGGTTGACCCACCAAATCAAATCCGTTTTCCCGGCTGTAGGCCAAGCAAGCCTATTAGCTTGATTTGCTTTAGGAGAACAAAATAAGAGTGATTTACAACCGTTTTACGGGTCGTTTTTTCTGTTAAAGAAGGCCCAATCTAAATTGGACGAAAGTACTAACTGAAAGGGATCCCGGGTTTACGTTTTGTGGATGTCTTTTTCGTTAACAGGCTATTACTGATGAAAAGAAGGCCCAATCCGAGTCGTACGAAAGTACTAACTGAGAGAGATCCCGCTTTCTTTGTTTGCATCTCAAGCTGCGAAATAGCGCAAATGCAACAAACTCAGCAAGCCACCGCGGCGCCTTTCTCAACTTCCACTCCTCCTCCTCACTCCACTGGTGGCTCCACGGCTGAGGCACCGCCGAAGCAGGTGGCGCTAGCAATGGACAAGCTAGGACAAGCCGAACGAATCATCGCCGATATCAGAATAGGCGCCGACCGCCTCCTCGAAGCTCTCTTCGTTGCCGCCGAACAGCCTCACCAAGGCAAAAAGCCTCTTCAGATGTTCCTCAAAGAAGATGCTTGCATGCGTCAGTATCTTCAAGACCTTCGATCCCTTGGTATGTATGCCATTCCGTTTCTCTACATTTTGATTTGACGTTCGGTTTCGAGATTAGGGTTTTTAGACTCTGAGGTGTCGATTGGTGCTTGATTTTGATTTGCTAGGAAAGGAGCTTGAAGAGTCTGGAGTTCTCAGTGAATCCCTTCGATCGCGAAAAGATTTTTGGGGCTTGCATATGCCGCTGGTTTGTCCAGATGGAGCGGTGGTTGCTTATGCTTGGAAACGACAGCTTGCGGGACAAGCCGGTGCATCTGCCGTCGACAGGACTAGGTTCGTTGAATATCTTAGTTTTTCAAGTTTTTGTTTTTAACTCCTGAATTCGTAGTACACAGTATTAATATATATGACATAAGCTTTAGCTAAGTTATGAATAGAGATAACTTCCTCATACCTAAATGAGTAGAACTAGAATACAATTAGTATTAGTATGGTAGTTTATCTGTAGTGAACAGCTACACGCAAGGTTACGGTTGTTTTGTTGTGTAAGTGGTAAAAATTGCTCAATTTGGTTCAGTTTCATAAGTTTCACCTCCAAATTTAGCTGGACTAGATTTAATTTAAACTATTATCCTTGCCAACACAATTCTGTACAATACTTGGCTGCTCAACCTTCTTCAGCACAATTGGGGGGGGGGGGGGGGGAATGCTTGTCGGCATGCTTTTTAATTGCTTTATTCATGGGTATTGTAATTTTTAATGCTCTTACTGACTTCCCAATGCTTGCTGAATCATGCTACTTTAGCTGCTCACTTAGGTTTTTGGATGATTTCAGGTTAGCTCTCAAAGCCTTCACTGATCAGAAAAGACGGTTTTTCCCCCATCTTGATGATGGACTTGAAACTAATGAATCAGCTTCAAAGAAGCGTTGTGGTTCTGAAGGAATTACAGTGGATCCTAAGGAAGAAATTAGTTTTCTTAGAACGCTTCCAGATGTTCTAAAGTCCTTGGAAAAGGAAGTTCCAAATTTGAAAATTTTAACTTTTGAACGATTGGACTGGTTAAAAAGAGCTTCCACACTTACCTCTTCAACAAATGAGAGTTCTCTGGAACATAACTATCATGCTTCTAATAAGCTAAGGCTAGGATCAGTGGGAACTGTTGCTGCAGAGAAAATTGCGGTAATAGAATTGTCGTTCCCTTCTATCTTCAGAGCTGTTGTATCCTTGCATCCTGCTGGTTCCCTTGATCCTGATGCTGTGGCTTTCTTTTCTCCAGACGAGGTATACCTGGCAATATCATTGTGACGTTTATCATTATTTCTCTTTTTTAATATTCATTATGGGGTGTGAACTATTTGTTTGTTGGGCTGTTGCAATGTTATGGACATTCTAGATGGTGCCTCAACATCAGTTCTATGATATTTCTTGTAAGAGAAATGCTACCAAGTAGTAACTCACTCTGAAATTTTCTTTTCATCACACTATTATTAGGTAAAATCCCATGCTTGCCCCACCAAGAGATAATGGGCCCAGGATATGTAACGGGGCCACCATAGGATTTCACCCAATATAGTGTTGAAAAAAAGTGTTGAAGAGTGTGTTACTAGGATTTCACCTAATATATATATATGTATACACGTGTGTGTATGTATTCTTGATTTTGCTTTCCCCCCCTGTTTTTGAGGTTATCTTATCCCGTAGTTGCTTTTCACTTATACTCTCTCTAATGAACTTCTTTTTTAGTAATAAAAAAGATTTGAATTTGTTATTTCGTTGTAAGATTTGCATGAATTTTTCATCCATATAATCAGCAGTTTTATAGTTTCTCAAGTGTCTTTGCCTCAGTTTATTTAACTGTGTTACTATAACAGAGTGGAAGCTATGTGCATGCAAGGGGATTGTCTGTTCATCATGTGTATAAACATATTACGGTAATGGACTTTGTTGCTAATCGTATTTCATGTGATTCTTTTAGTAACTCTTTGAAGTCTTTCTGATTATAGCTCTTTTGTCTTCCACTGCAGGAATATGCAACGACTGCTCTGCAGTATTTTCTTGGGAACCAAGCTGAATCTTCTCTTTATTCTCTTTTGGTACTGAAATTATCTTGCTTTTGCAAATCATGATACTTATTTTGGTTAGAAGCTATTCATTCTACATGTACTTGAAGCTTTCTTAGCTTTCTGCCTTTTCTTTTCCAGCACTGGGTTTGCAGCTACCAGACTCTGTTTTCAAGACCATGCAGGTTTGATTTGCAGTTCCCCAGTCATTATATTTCCATATTATGTAGTAGAGTTACAAATCTCATTTTGTTGGTTGTGCAGCAAATGTTCACAGCTACTTGCAATGGATAAACAATCTGGTTTCTTTTTACCTCCAGTTCACCGTCCTTACTTGCAGTTGTCCTTTTCAAAAATTTTATCAACCATATCGTCGAAGGACCAGAATTCAGAATTTACTCAGGCTTATCATGTTGGCTGCCTCTCTGAGGAAGTTTGATTGCATCTACCATTCAGGTAAGCCATATACCCAATTAGATGTCGAACTACAGGGAGCAAGAGTCTCCATTGTATTGTTGTATGTATATTCCCTTTTCATCATGTATAGATATGAGGAAGGTAGGGGTTAATAGGTCATTTTTTTAACTTGGAGTTAACTCATTAATCATGAATAAGTCCTGACCATTGATATTTATTAAATCTAAGCCATTGATTAATATTTTTATTGAAAAAACCATATTATCTTATTATTTCAATTTCTTAGATTAAGAGAGAAAGAGAGAGAGAGTTTCATGAAAATGTTGGTAAGCTTATCTTCTCTGTTGGATGTGTGCGGAATTGTTATTTGATTCCAAGGTATGTTAAACGAGACCAGAACATTTTTTCAAGTTTCGTTTGAGGGTTTTGGAAATTTCATTGCTTTGTGATGTTGGAAGCCAACGAGGCTGTAAGGAGGTTCACGTGAAGTTCTTGATGAAGAACACAAATTTTGTCTCCTGAAGAACTCTAGTCAAACAATTTTAACTGGAAACCACATCTGATGGCAATGCAGCTATGGCCATTAAATCATGCGAGACAGATACAGTCAATGACCGAACAAATAATTTGGAGACTGCAAGCTTGACCACTGAAGCTGCTGATTTTTCGTATGCAGATGACATTGAGTGAGCAAACATGGATGCTTAGACATTTGTTTCTAAATCAAGTGTAGCCCGCGTAACCAGAGATTTTGCAATTGCAGTAAGAAATGTACTTCTCCAAATGGGTTTGTGCTTGGTGGGACCTAGAGGAGCATACCATGAAATCAAAGAACAACGCAAAATGTTCTTCTCCAAATGGGTTTGTGCTTGCTGGGACCTAGAGGAGCATACCTTGAAATCAAAGAGCAGCCTTCCACACATCCATAGAGAAGTCGAGCTTACCAATGCTCTGTTCGTGAAACATGTTTCTATTGTAACTGTTGTTGAAGTTTAAGAACTAATTGGGACGAAGTTCTAGTTGAAGCTGTCTGTTCGCAAAAAGACAGTTTAGAGTGGGTTTATGCACTTCTCCCATTTTTTTTTTTTATTTTTTTTTTTTTTTATACCTTAGTTTGATCTTCAGGAAATTGATCAGTACATGGCTTGTTGTGCAAGCATCATGAGCGTGACTGCATCTATTGATTCTATTCTCTCAAGATGATTTGGGTCATGTAAATTGAAAGATTGCTTTTTTGGATGCCAGGAAGTTCTCCTCACCCTGACATTGTTCATTGCCATAAGACACAAATAGCAATCTTTATGATTAAAGAATCATGCTTCCTACATAACTACCTTCTCTGTATGTACTAGTTTCTCCATCCTAATATAATAGAAAATGATACAAGGGTGCCAACTAGGAATCTGAGATTGAACCTCATGTACATTTATTACGGGTAGTTGATACTATTGTTGCGCTGATGCTGAATGTTGTTGTCGTGGTCCTGAGTGCTCCGATGGAGGTTGATGTGCATATGCTCTAAAAGCTACACTTTTTTCACTGTATTTGACTACAAAACAATTCGCATGTGTTTATTACCCGTTTCATCGCAAGAGTTGAATCAGTTGTAATTGGCGAAATGTTTTCAGCTTTCAAGTGAAAACAAGAGGCCACGGACTTTTTCTGTAACTTGTTAGTGTTGCTGCTCATCCATCAAAAGCCGGTATTTGTCAGTAGTGCAACTTGCGCAATTCATATAATTCAAATTATGATTGTGAAGAGTTGTCGATCAGAAATGTGCTTTGGTGTGTATCGTCTTGCATGTCTGAGACTATTAGGTGTGTCTATGGAATGGGTGTTTGGGCAACATCGAATACTATTCTGAATAATGTTTATTGTTTTCGTAAAAACTTGGCTAGCTAAACTGGCATTCGAAGTTTGAGTGCTTTGATTAATGGATCAATTATATGGATCAATTTATAGCAAAAGCTGAGTACAATAATTGCATTTTTAGATGCTAATGGCAAATAAAGTTAACAAGACAAAAGGATTTGCCAGCTATTTAACTCAAAACTGAAAAAAGTTACAATTCCATTTGTTTTGCTACGCTTTTTAGCCTTTCGAGTTTGCAACAAAAATGCATGAACGTAAAGCACCTTCCAATTAAATAAGAAAAGGAAAAAAAAAATACAAAGAAAGAAAGAGAGAAAGACGGAAAGAATAGCATTGCAATTGCTGAATTCAAATACAAATTCGAAAATATTCAACAAAAATTGAGCCCCCGAAAGCTTCACTTTCTTGGCGATTATCCTGAAATCACAAAGAGAACCGCACTTCATCAACAAAATAGATGACGTGGACCCAGCTTCTAGAAGCCTATTCAAAACCAACACGCAACTCTGCACCTAGCACCTATACCGAGTGCAACATAAATGAAACTTAAATGACTTTTATAGCCTTATATCTGTTCCTTTTTCTCTCTACCTTTGACCACTATATAGACCCCCTAAACGCTCTCTTCGCACTGCACAAAAACAAGATCACACCAAAAACACACGCAACGTTTTCAGTCCCCATTTTACCCGTCACCGCAAAAAGACTACACAGCAACAACTCTCGATGCCGGGAACCCTAAATCTCACTCTCATCACCGGTGCTGGCAGAACACTTCGGCTCTCCTCCGAAGTCTCCTCCCTCTCCAGTAGGTTCGTCCGGCCTCCGATTATGGATTCCGCCAAACAATGCAGGCCAGCGATCCGGGCTTTCAGTGCGACGGTGTCGGCGATAGTTTCCCGGCGGCCGGCAAGTCTCTACGAGGTGCTCCGGATCAAGCAGAACGCGTCTTCCGTGGAAATCAAGTCGGCATACCGGAGCCTTGCGAAGATGTACCATCCTGATTCAGCGGTACGGCCGTCGGAATCCGACGAAAGGGACTTCATCGAGATCCACGACGCGTACGAGACGCTGTCGGATCCGTCGGCCAGAGCGCTCTACGATCTGTCGTTGATGGCCGCGCACGGTGGTAGGCGCTTGTTCTCGTCTTCGGTGGCTCCGAATGGCTCTTCCGGATTCTACCAGACCCGGAGATGGGAAACGGACCAATGCTGGTAGATAGCTTAAAAAAAAAAAGGAAGAAAAATTAACTTCGTTTGGGATGTTAACAAAATAGTAGGTTGCTCAGGAAAAATAAAAAATAAAAAAAGAAAATTGGTCACCTTGAAAAATGATGAAAATAAAATCTGTAAATTCTATCCCTTATTTACATAAACGTGTTTTTTTGGGATATTTTGTCCCTTTCATTGGCGAAAATTTTCACCATAGATTATTTCAGCTACAATTGCACAACTACGAAGCCACTGGCGTTTTTTCTTTTTTTACTTACTTACTTAAGGGTCCAGAATTATAAGGAGCGATTACAATTTTTTTTATAAAAAAAAATCAAAATTAATATAAAAAAAATTGTACAAAAATTGAATATAAACGGCTACATATAATTCAAGGAAAAAACTATTCTTATACTCCATGTGATAATTTTTTCTCCTAAATATTCTTTAATAACTGTGCTATTTTTTTCTTTTCTTTTTTTAAATGGTGGAACCCACAAATTTGTCTCTATAATATGATATAAGTTATCTCCTTTAACATGATATTAATAAAATCCATAATTCAAACCCTAAAATTTATTATATATGAATGTTAATTTAACAGAAGACTTGTTTAGTGACCAAAGTGATAAGTAAAACCTTGTTAGTTTAGGTCACTCGAGATCATGATTTTGGATCATTCATTTTGTTCTTAAGTTAACCTATTTAGTTATTGAAATAATTTATAAATAATTTTTTTAGAGAAAACTAAAGGAAAATGATTTTTTTTTAAATAATTAAACATAAATATGTCGTGTGGTGTTGGACAATTTATTCATTTATATTAAAATGGACTAAAATTGTTTACCCAAAAAAAAATGGACTAACATTATAATTTTATTTCAATGAGAGAGTAGTATGGCTTATCCAGTAATCAATGAAATGACTTCAATTTTTTTTTTTAAAGACCAATCATTTGAATTGAACGGACCAGTGAAAGGATTGTTCTCAAAATTGAAATCGCGAAAACTTTATTAGATAAATTTATAACGAAAAAATTATTTGTGCAGCTGCTGCACATACAGTAAGTTAAGATACGAAATCAGATCTTTGGATACGGTTTCGTATTCTAACTTTTTTTTTATAAAAAAAAAATAGATCAATAGCTCACTTTTTTGTGTTAGCTGCATAGTAGCTCTCCCCAGCTTTACTAAAAAAGTGTCCCCATTTATAATTAAACTATGATGAAATTATGGTTGAACTTGATAATGTTTGAATTGGAGAATATCAAAGACATAAGTCTCTAGAGAATTGAGGACCGAAACATGTCAATACTTTTGTAATAAAATACTACAGGCCACATAAACAGGTCTGCCCTTAGGCCCAACCCAGAATAGACTAAGGTAAGTGCATTGAACATGGTTCAGCTTGAGCAAAAATATTTCTAAAACAAAGGAACTATAGAACCAACCTATGGAACTATAAGCGAGAGAAAACCAATTATTTTTTGGTGTGAAAAAAGAAGGGTCTTTGAAGCCTCTTGAAAACAACATGCTCTATGCACTTCTTGCCTACGACATTATTTGAAGAAAAGATCACTTCATAAATATGTACATTGAAATAAAGAAAAAAAATCCATCTAAGAAAAAAAAAATTATATCATCAAAACAAATCCTGCACAGAAAATATTCAAACATTATTTAATATTATTCATGTCCTTCTTTGAAGTTGAAAGATCTTCATTATTCATTCTAGACATCAAGAACTTCATTGAAGACTTTAGAAATCAGATTCTGCACTGTGCAAGAAGGCATGGAAATCATCCCTAATGTCAATTTAATAAGATATTGAATATAGATAATCTTCAGCTTCGGCAATGGATACTGAGATGCAACTTGGAGCCTCACAAGTACAAATTTTGCATGAATATCTTCTACAAGACTCTCATTACATGTCTCATTCAAGTCAGATATGTCGTACTTGTCAGTTATATGCAGTAGGGCCACTCTATGAGACAAAAATTCTTCAACTTTGATGGACTCATAAAGATAATTTAGAAATGTCACACAAGCTTCAATTAACATGTATGAGATATTTATAATAGAGAGATCATTCTCCTTAAGATTATGAAAGAATGTGTTGTGAAATACAGGAGATCGGGCAACAAGAATGATGGGTTCTTTTTTAGCAAAAAGAGATAAGCTTAAGTTAAACTTAAAATAAAATGATACTGCAACAAGTCTGCCTTCATTTCGATAACAAATCTCCTTTTAACAGAGAATACAATTAGAGTTCCACTACCTAAAATCCCACGAAATAAGGATCCTACTAACAGAACGTGAAAAATAACCGCTTAATTTAAATTACAAAGAAAACAAACTAAAGGCAATAACCGCTTAACTTAATTACAAAGGAAACAAACTAAAGGCTGAATTCAGTTTTTAATAGCTGTGCCCATCACGTAGTCGGATAAGTACGTAGGTGGTTTACGCGTACGTGCCTGACGTGGGTATGCTGCTATAGGACCTCTATCATTCCCATGTCCTTCAAAAGGAACTTGGTCCCCAAGGTCCTCGAGCTCTGCGTCAGGAAGAGCTGGTAAGTCTGAGTGTGTTGGTTCTCCATGAAACGGCTTGAGCAATGAAACGTGGAACACCGGGTGTATGCGTGAGGTAGAGGGTAAGGACAATTTATATGCAACTGGCCCAATTTTGTCTAGCACTTGAAAAGGGCCATAATAGCGTCGGGATAATTTATAAGACTTTCTCTTTGCTAAGGACTGTTGCCTATAAGCATGTAATTTGACCAACACCCAATCTCCAATAATGTAAGTACGGTCTGTTCGACGAGTATCAGCATGAGCCTTCATTCGCTGCTGAGCGCGTTTCAGGTTGTCTTTGAGTAAGGCTAAAAGAGCATCCCTGTCCCGCAAAGCACGGTCTACATGTATATCAGTAGAGCCACCAGAAATATAATCAGGTATTGAGGGTGGTGGTCGGCCATACAGTGCTTCAAAGGGAGTCATTTTAGTTGAGGAGTGGAAAGTGGTGTTGTACCAATACTCAGCCCAGTGTATTTACTTAGACCAGGATGAGGGCTGGTCCATTGTGAAGCTTCTAAGATATTGCTCGAGGCAACGGTTGACCACTTCGCTCTGCCCATCTGTTTGGGGGTGATAAGCAGAACTCGTTTGGAGCTTGGAGCCTTGTTGTTTGAAGATTTCTTGCCAAAAAGAACTGAGAAATATTGAGCCTCGGTCTGTGGTGATACTCTTTGGTATGCCATGTAATTTGCCAACATGAAGAACATAGGCTGTGGCGGCTATGTGTGCTGTGAAATGGGAAGGCATTGGGATGAAATGAGCATATTTCGAAAGCCGATCAACAACGACCATGATGGAGGATTTTCCATGGGAAGGGGGAAGGCCAGTGATGAAATCCATGGTAATATCATCCCAAACACGCTCTGGTATGGGAAGTGGTTGGAGAAGACCCTGTGGTGTTGTAGTGGCATACTTGGTTTGTTGGCAAACAAGGCAATTGCGGACCCAACTCTTGATGTTTGTCTTCATTTTTGGCCAATAAAAACCTTGACTTAAACGGCGCAGAGTTCTGTAGAAGCCAGAATGTCCACCAATAGGGCTAGTATGGTGCTCGTGGAACATATCTTTGCAAAGTGGGGAACCATAAGGAAGCTAAATCCTATCCTTAAAAAAAAGGAGACCATTAGTGATATGGTAATGAGGATATGCAGAAGGATTGTTGCTTACTGCTGTCATGAGGGCACTGGTGGCAGTGTCATGTGCGATCTCTGTTTGGATGCGGTTGGACAGAGTCGGAATGGGGACAGAGAATGCATGAAATGCTGGATCCGGGCAGCGAGATAAGGCGTCGGCTGCCCCATTGGTCTTGCCAGGCTTGTAGACAATGCGGTACTGGAAACCCATTAATTTGTAAAGCCATCGTTCCTGTTCTGGGGTATGGATGGACTGGGAGAGGAGATGTTGCAGACTATAATGATCGGTGTGGATGATGAACTCGCGTCCCAACAAATAATGGCGCCACTTGTGCACTGCTTCAGTAATCGCACAAAGCTCACGGACATAGGTAGATGCAGCACGGATCCGAGGCGAAAATAACTTGCTATAATAAGCAAATGGGTGTCCATGTTGACTCAAAACGGCGCCCAAAGCAGTACCAGATGCATCTGTGTCGATACAAAAAGGTTCTGTGAAATCTGGCATCTGGAGAACAGGTGCATTGGAGAGTGCATCTTTGAGTGTGGCGAGAGCTTGGTCATGTGCATCTGTCCAATGAAAAGCATTGCAGCACAACAAGGAGGTTAGCGGAGCAGCCAAGGAAGCATACCTCTTAATGAAACGACGGTAATATCCGGCTAAGCCGAGAAAAGCCCGTAGTTGTGTGGTAGTCCTCGGTGTTGGCCACTCTAAAATTACGGTAATCTTATCCTGGTCAACTGAAATACCCTTGGTAGAGACAATGTGCCCCAAATAATTTATAGAGTCTTGACCAAATGAGCATTTTGCAAGCTTGACATGGAGGCAGTTTCTGTCCAACACGGAAAAGACTTGTGCGAGATGTTCTAGGTGTGCTTCCCAAGTCGGGCTATACACAAGAATGTCATCGAAGAAGACAAGAACAAATCGACGTAAAAATTCTGCAAAGACGGAGTTCATTGTTGCCTGGAATGTGGAAGGAGCATTGCAAAGACCGAAGGGCATAACACGGAACTCATAGTGACCTTCGTGTGTCCGAAAAGCAGTGGCTGTGATGGAGTCAGGATGCATGCGAATTTGGTGGAATCCAGAACGAAGGTCCAGCTTGGAGAAAAAGCGAGAGCCATGAAGTTCATCAAAGAGTTCATCGATAGTTGGAATTGGAAATCTGTCTTTGATGGTAATGGCATTAAGGGCTCTGAAATCGACGCAAAAACGCCAAGTGCCGTCCTTTTTGCGGACAAGGAGGACGGGAGAACTAAAGGGACTTACACTTGGTTGGATGAGACCATCATTCAGCATAGTACGCACTTGGCGTTCTATTTCTTGCTTCTGAAAATATGGGTACCGGTAAGGCTTAACATTCACAGGACTGGATCCTGGTACAAGCAAGATGCGATGATCTTGGGGTCTGTGTGGTGGCAAATTGCTAAGAGGTTGGAAGAGGTGTGGAAAAGGTAGAAGGAGTTGTTGAATATCAGGATGGATAGGTGGTATTGGAGGGGTGGAAGTGGTTGGGATTATATCAAGTTGGAATAAGGAGGCAATAGAAGAGGTGGCCAATTGGCGACGGATTGTTGGTGAACAAACTTGAGTGGATGTGGGGGTTGTGGAGCCAAGAAGGGTGATTGGTTCTGAGTTGAGGGCGAACGAAAGTGTGAGATGACGGTAGTCAAAAGTGACTGGGCAGAGTTGGCTGAGCCATTGAACTCCAAGAACGACGTCAGCACCATGGAGGGGAAGGACATATAAATCAATATGAAAGAGATGACTTGCAAGATAGAGCGGCACCGAGAGGCAAACGCCAGAACAGGGTAAGGTTTCACCATTGCCAACTGTGACATTGAACGTGTGAGTAGTGTCCATAGGGAGATGAAGATGGTGAGCCAGGCGTTGTTGAATGAAATTGTGTGTGGAGCCTTCGTCAACCAATACTTGAATGGTAGTGCCAGTAATGTTTCCTTCCAGGCGAAGTGTACGAGGGGAATTTTGACCAGAAAAAGCATGAAGAGAGATATCAAGGACCTCAGAGTCGGTGGGGGTTGTGATCTCGGTTTCAAGGAAAGAGGTGTCATGGTTGTCAGGGTTGTCATTGTTATCATCACCGAGAAGAAGAAGAGTGGATAGGTTTTTGCATTTGTGGCCACGAGAAAATTTCTCGTCACAGTTGAAACACAAGTTTTGTTCACGTCGGGCTTTCATCTCATCAACGGTCAATTTACGGACGCCTGGAGGGGGTGGTCTTGGTGTGGGGGTGTTGGTGGATGCAGTGTGGGGTTGGTGAGGTGATGGAGAATTTTGGGGACGATAGGAATGGTCAAAGAGTTTTTCTTCCTGCAATTTGGCTAGGCCTTGGGCTTCAATGATAGTTTGGGGTTGAAGGGCTTGGACTTCACGACGGATAGGAGGTTTGAGACCAGAGATGAAATTGCGAAGAAGGAATTCTTGCGGTAAGTGATTGGTACGGTTGGCAAGGGATTCATATTTGGATATGTAGGCTGAAACAGTACCAGATTGTTGAAGTTTGGCAAGGGAGCCCATGTGGTCTGTATAAGGGGAATCACCAAAACGTATATCTAAGGCTTGAATAAAATGTTCCCAACTTTGAAAAGGACAATTAGTATTCATCCATTGGAACCAGGCGAGTGCGGGACCATCCATATGAAAGGATGCAATCTGGAGTCTCTGGGATTGGGGGGTTTGATGAAAGTCAAAAAATTGAGAGGCTTTAAATATCCAGCCCGAGGGATTGTCACCGTCAAAGCGAGGAAAATCAAGGCGAAAGGGTCTGGGTTGAACAACTGGGGGAAAGTTTGGAGGAGGTGGAGGGGGTGGTGGTGGTGGTGGAGAGTTGGTTGTGGTATGGGAGAGTTGGTCAAGGCGTCCCATGAGGGAGGTGTGGATATCATTAAGACGTTGAACAGTGTGGTTTGATTGTTCAGTGAGTTCAGTAATTTGATGAGAGGATCTGGTAGAAATGTCACGTAGTTGGGTGATTTGTGTGAGGGCTTGGTTAGAATTTTCAAATAGTTTGTGAATTTGAGTAGCTTGAGTTTCTTGTGTCTCTTCAAGTTTCCTAAAACGTGTACCTTCAGCCATTGTCACGGGGTGAGGAAAAATGGAAAAAAAAAACAAGGAGAGGGGAGTGTGCTCAATGAAAGCACCAAATGATGGGTTCCTTTTTAGCAAAAAGGGATAAGCTTAAGTTAAACTTAAAATAAAACGATACTGCAACAAGTCTGCCTTCATTTCGATAACAAATCTCCTTTTAACAGAGAATACAATTAGAGTTCCACTACCTAAAATCCCACGAAATAAGGATCCTACTAACATAACGTGAAAAATAAC